TGCTTCTGTTTTGGGGCTCTTTGGCCAGCCCTAGCTGGGAGCATGGAGCTGCATTGCATGTTGTGGCACATGTTCTGCAGTGATCCCAGCCCCACTAAGCCACCCAGCTGGGGGCCCCCATGCTGATGCCCCGGGTGGCCTCTCTTCTGCTTTCAGGACTTTGAAAGGGATGATGAGAGGTCAGGAAATGGAGGCTCAGACTCTGATGGTGAAGAGAACATCGGGTGGAGCACGGTCAACCTAGATGAGGAGAAACAGCAGCAGGATGTGAGTACAATTTGGGGAAGGGGTGTGTGGGCGGTGACTGCATTCATAGCTTCCCCGACACGCGTCCCGCCCCGTCCCTCCAGTGAACACAATGAACCCTGCGGGGCTGTCAGTCAGGATTGAGGGGCACTGGCAGAGCTGTGGGAGGGGAGCCCAGGGCTGGCATAGCAGGGGACTCTTTAAACAGATGAGTCCAAAGCCCTGAACCCTGTCTTCCCCCTTTGCAGTTCTCAGCATCCTCTACCACCATCCTGGATGAGGAGCCCATAGTGAACCGGGGCCTAGCTGCTGCCCTCTTGCTTTGCCAGAACAAAGGTAAGTGGGGAGCTCAGGATGAGCCCCCTGTCCCAGAATCCTCTTGGGTTCCCATGCTTGCCTGCTGTGCTACATACAGATGACTGCTCCCTGTTCACAGCAGGGCCCAACTCCTCTCTGAAAACCCTCCCTGGTACTTAGTGACCGGAGTGAACTTTGTTTAAATTGTAGTAAGGCAAGATCTACAGAGATCGCAGCCCCTGTCATGCTGGGCGCTGTGCAGTCAATGAGGCAGTCCCCGACCTGGAGAGCTCAGCCTAAACAAAGGGTGGGAGGGTGTCACGGAGTCCCTGGGCGATGCTCTGGAACTGCTCCCTACGAAACCAGTCAGGACTCTGTGAAACCAGTGTCCTTTCTGTGAGCAGACACTCTTCAGGACACACAGCTCACACAACTTCCACCTTCCTGGGTCTGACCTCGGAGCATTCAGCATCCTCTGCCCCTCCGTACGCTTCCCACCGCGAGTCCGCCCAGGCGGGGTCCTGGGGAAGCCAGAGGGTCCTGCACCCTAACTTCGCAGTCAGACATGACTCTCAGCCAGCCAGTAAAACAGAAGGTTTATTAGATGACAGGAACATGGTCTAAAACAGAGCTTGTAGGTGCAGAGAACAGGACCCCTCAGCTGGGTCCATTCTGGGGGGCAGTGAGCCAGACAACCAGGTCTGGCACTTCACTCCATATCCCCAGCCAGCCCCAAACTGAAACTATCTCCAGCCCCCCCTCCTCTGGGCTTTGTCCCTTTCCTGGGCCAGGAGGTCACCTGATTCCTTTGTTCTCCAACCCTTTAGCTCTCACCTTGCAGGGGGGAAGGGCCCAGGCCATCAGTGGCCAGGAAACAGGGTGTTGGCCATTCTCTGTGTCCAGACCCCTGCACATACCTGCCCTCTAGGGCTCTGCCATGATCATACACCCTTATCCCACCACCTAGATACTTAAGAACTGCACAGGGGAAACTGAGGCACCCCCACACTATTCAGAGGAAACATTAAGAACAGTCCCGTTTCGTCACCGAGGGGGACAGAGCCCCTGAGAGGGGAACTGAAGTGCCCAAGGTGTGTCAGAGCTAGGAATAGAGCCTAGGAGTCCTGAGTCCCAGTCTACTGCCCTGCCCACTAGGCCATGCTGCCCCTGAAAGCCCTTTCTCCCTGTGTGATCCAGCAGCTCTGAGATCTCTGGGGCTGGTGTTTATGGTGAGGGGGAAGCTTCCCAGAGCACTTACTGCCCCTGGGCAGGGCCTGATCCATGCCTCTTCTGCTCACTGCAGGCCTGCTGGAGACGACAGTGCAGAAAGTGGCCAGGGTGAAGGCGCCCAACAAGTCGCTACCCTCAGCCGTGTACTGCATTGAGGATAAGATGTAAGTGGCCTTGTGGGGCAGGCGAAGCCCCGGGGTAGATCATCAGTAGCTGAAATCGGATCTGCCACCTCTGGGTCTTGGCACCTGGGCCTCTTGCCTGAGTTAAAGCCCCACTGTGCTAGCCATGGCTGTAGCACTTGCCACCACAAGAGGGGCAGGGAGTGGTTGCCATAAGATCTGTTGCCAGAATAGGTGTTGGCAGTGTCCTGCCCCATGGCTGGTTCCCCTAACCCCAGAAGGATGCCGACGGTCACGCAGCGGAGACTGGCAGCAAGGAGGCAGTTGTTGTGCTGGTGGTTTGGGTGATGTGGACGCTGGTCATGCACTCCCAGTAACACCCATAACCCTTATTGTAGACCTGGGCCCATGTCTCATGCCACTGAAAGGCCTGAGTGCCTAGGGATCATTAGTGGCCAGAGGGCTAAGAGCCCTGGTTTCGCATCTCATTCAAGACAGAAACCCCCTAGTGCTACGCTGGGGCAAGCACTGACTGCAAGGGGAGAGCGCCCTCTAGCATCACATTGGGATCAGCAGTGACTGCGCGGAGAGCAGCCATCCGCCCCGCCACTGAAATAACCTTCTGGGTTGGGCTCCCGCAGGGCCATTGATGACAAGTACAGCCGGCGGGAGGAGTACCGGGGCTTCACCCAGGACTTCAAGGAAAAGGATGGCTACAAGCCTGACGTCAAGATTGAATATGTGGATGAGACGGGTCGCAAGCTCACTCCAAAGGAGGTAGTGGGAAGGGACATGGGGGCGCCCGGGGTAGGGGGTGGGCAGTGCTGATGCATCCATGTCTTTCCCCTCCATTTCCCCCATGGGAAGCGGCTGTGATGGTGAAAAGAGGTTTTTTTCTCGGGGGGGATGGGGGGTGGGAGAGGGTTGGCTGGGAGCTGTGATAGTGAAGGGGGAGTTCTGTGGCGGGGATCCCTTGCTCTCCCTACTGTCACAGACAGATGGGGAAGGGCGCTGGGGGTTTCCCAGCCCTGGTGCTGTGTGGAGCGGGTGGCAGGAGGCTCCTAGGTGGGGCTGTGAGACAATCAGTGCTGACCCCCACTCTGTGCACTTTGTCCCCAGGCATTCCGGCAGCTCTCTCACCGCTTCCATGGGAAGGGCTCCGGGAAGATGAAGACAGAGAGGAGGATGAAGAAGCTGGACGAGGAGGCGGTGAGTGGGTGACATGGCTGGAGTTCCCCATGGGCAGAGCCTGTAGGATGCTGAAAGAGGGGTGGGGGCAGGTCCAGCTTCATCCTGTTGGCCAAGCAGTCAGGCATGGATGGGAAACCTGAGGAGAGCCCAGGGGGACACAGGAGCAGCATAGGGTGGGTGCTCTCCCACTGTGGTCGGTGTTGGCTCCTGTGCCTGTGTGGCACTAAGGGGTGCTGTGCTGATTATTTGCAGTCATCAATGGTTGTGCTCTGGCCTCAGAGTCTGGCTGTTAAGCCTGGGGTCCTGGCCAAACCACTCTTCAGGTTAACCATCTCCTCTACTCCCCCCGCTGTTTAAACTGGAATAGGGGAGTTCTTCCTTTGCTGTGTGAGGGACTGATAAGACCCTGCACCTCCGTGGTGGCTGTGTCTCAGCACTGGGTGCAGGTGGGATGGGATGGGCTGTTAGCCTGGGATCACAGTTGAGTTGGTGAAAGTCTGCAAGGGGCTGTACTGACTCAGGCTCTCCCCTCTCTCAGCTGCTGAAGAAGATGAGCTCCAGCGACACGCCCCTGGGCACGGTAGCGCTGCTGCAGGAGAAGCAGAAGGCCCAGAAGACCCCCTACATTGTGCTGAGCGGCAGTGGCAAGAGCATGAATGCGTAAGTACCCTGTCCTCTCAGCAGCCATCATAGGGTTGGTCTGTCTGACCTCCCCAGTGCTGGGAAGCCGGGGCCTGGGGCAGGTGGTCTGGAGGGGAGCATAGGACATGGTTCTCCCAAGTCTAGTGGGGCTAATATAGGAGTGCATGGCCTCTTTTGTAGCTGTAACCCCTGTTAGTGATGACCTCTTCCCCCTGGCCTGAGTGGTCCTGGTCCTTCACTCATGTCCCCTCTCTCATTGCTTCAACAGAAACACCATCACCAAGTGAGCTGCTAGCACTGATCCTGGAAGCAGATGCCGTCTGCCTGTCACTTCCTATCTGATCTGACCATGTGCATCCTGGGTTCTGATGGTGGAGAGTCTCTACTCTCCCGGGGGCAACGGTCCAGTCCTGCTCCACCCTCACCATGTACCTACAAGTTGTGAAGTCAAGGGGGGAGGACTTCCCATGGTAGTGCTTCCCTCTAGTGGCTTCCACCTCTCAGCATCTGCTGGGGTGGTGTCCCTCTGCCCCATGCCACAGAGCGGACTCCTGCCTGTGCCTAAGTAAGATGCTGGGGTGCAGTTTGTTAAACTCTCCCTTCAACTCTTGATGTCTTGGATGCAAGACAGGCTGACCTGCCCTCGCCCCCACAGGCGGGGGTAGGGCTGTGTATATAGTTAAGAAACTGTGACTCTTGGCACCAAAACCTTGTTTTTGTATTGATGTCAAACCAAATCACCCATTAAAAGCACCAATTCCTGTCTGGGAGCTGGGGCCTGTTCTTGCCCGTACGGAGATACTTGTTCCTAGGGTGTGGGTCTATAAGCCTGGGGGACTGGACCTGGCTCTTGCTGTGTTTGTACAGCACCTAGCACCACAGAGCCCCGCCCCATGACTGAAGCTCCCAAGTACTACCCAGATCAACTTCCTAGTCCCAGGGAGGCCTGACCTGTCTCTGCAGAGCATCTGGTTCTATTGGATAGGGTGACTGTGTTGTACTGCTCACCAGCACTGCAGTGCGGGGGAGGAGTGTCTTGGCTGTGGCCTATCCATGTCCTGACCCAGGAGAGAGCTGGAGGAGCAGCCATGGGCTGGTAGCTGGCCTATATCCTCCCTCTGCACAGATCAGTGTGGGTAGCAGTGAGCTCAACCTGCTCTCCCCATAGCCCAGAACCTGCCCCTGCATACCAGCTGGCCTGCTACAGCCAGAGCTGGCTTGGGACCAGGCTCTCATTCTTGTCTTGTGCAGTTTCAAATCAACCCACCTGGGTGCCTGTGGGAAAATCTTTATTGAATAAGGCAGAGGGGAGACTGCTTATTACACAGCAATAGTATCTAGGACACACAGCACCCAGTGCTTTGCCCAAGGAGCCTGCGTTAGAGCAGAGGGCACAGTCCCATCCACCATTTAAAAGGGGCTGATAAGGGATGCTGAAGCTGGGCTGCTCCATCTTAGATGAGGCCTCCCAGCTGCTATAACTCTATAACTTTACTCCTCCCCAGCCCCCTCTCTACAGCTTCAAGCAGTGCTGCGACCTAGAACTCCATTTCCCTTTGCCCCAAGGAGCACTGCCACTCTTCCCCCGGAGTGGGCTGGGTGAAGAGTGAAATAACCATGCATTGGGCCCAACAGGCCCAGCACCCTCGTCTCTGGTGAGCTGGATGCTGCAGCAACTCATGGCTCAGACAGCAGAGGTGATGGAGGGAAGAAATGTGTCCCCAGCAGAGGGCAGCACTGAGGCAGTTCCAAGCCAGCTGGAGCATTCACCAGGCTGGTGGGTGTGAGTTCAGCCCCAGAAGGCAGTCTCCTTCCTGCTGCATCAGGCTCCTCATGCTGAGGTGTTTAGGAGGCTAGAAGATCGGGTTTCCTGCCCTGGGTCACTATTTTTCTTCCTCATCCCGGTCGCTGGCCACCACTGCCTCCTCCTCGCTGTCGTCCTCGCTCTCTGTGCAGCTGCAGTGCAGTCTGTTCGTGTTCACAAACAGGTCACTGTCGTCGTCCGAGTCCTCTTCCCCAGAGGAGCGAGCAGCCGTTTGCTCCCCTTCCCTGCTGCACAAAGGGGTGGCTGTCAGTTCTAGGCCTGTGGCCCTAGCAGTCACCTGGCTTCCTCCTTGGGGCAGCTGCCCACTGATCAGGGCACTGGCCTAAGACTGGAGACCTGGGTTACCTAGGACTGGAAGGGACCTTCTGGACCAGTGAGCCCCAACACTGCTATTGCAGCCACCCTGTCGTAGAATCCCAGTCAGACCCTTATCCAGCTCCCTCTGTAAACTCATTGGGCTGTTTGCCCCCATCCCCTGGGGAGACTTTGCCAGAATCTCCCTCTGAGGGGCTGAAACATAATTTGAGGTTTAATTTATTCCTGGACAGTTGAGAAGCAGTCCCCCTCCTTTCACACTCACCTGGTCTCAGAGCTGGGCTGACTTTCTGCAGTGTCAGAGAAGGCCTCAGGCCTGTGGGGAAAAAGGCATGAGATGACAGAGCAGCCCTGGCTTTGCGACAATGGCTTGGAACAGGATGCTGGGCTTTTCCCCTCTCGGGAGGGCTGCAGGGAATGGGAGGGAATTGCCTCTCCACTCCAGCCCCTGCCCGTGGCAGGGGACTGCTTCAGCCAACACAGCCCCTGCTGTGCAAAAGAGGCCAGAAATAACCCCAGCACAGACCTGTTTTCCTACCAACACAATCAACAAACAAACTACTTTGCTACAAAATCCAAACTTGTGGAAAAATCTCATTTGACAAAGTTTTTCCCAGTTTGCCAGTTAAACTAGAATCTGAGATTTTGTTTTTTGGCCAAGTTAGTTTTCAAAAGTGGTGTTTTTTTTTTTTTTTTTAGAAACTCTATCCCTACCTTCCTCATGTTAAGATCAGGTGGCCAGAAAAGGGATCATCTAATCTGACTCCTGTATAACAGACTCTAGGACTGCCCTGAATTAATTTCTGTTTAAACTACATCAAGTCTTTCCAAATCACGTCTGAGCTGGATTTAAAAATTGCCAGCACTGATGAATCCACCACAGCCTTTGGTCAGTTGTTCCAATGAACCCTCTTCTTTCCAATCTGAATGTGTCTAACTTCAATTTCCAGCCAGTGGCTCTTGTACAATGTTTGTCTGCGAGATTGTAGAGCACACTGTCAAATTTCTGTTCCCCATGCAGGTACATATAGACTGCTCAACTCACCCCTTAAACTAAGGTTGAGCTCTGTGGAGTCTGTCACCAATCCTTATATTCTTGTGGCTCTTCTCTGACCCCTCTCAAATTTATCAATGTTCTTCTTGAGACTACACCCTGGGATCCCAGCAACAGTCACACCTGCCCCAAACCGATTATAAACAGCATGTGCTCTCTGCCACCAAAGCAATGAGCCCCCTGCTGGAGAACTACTCCCCCATCCATCTGTACCCAGTGCCCATGGAGATAACCCCCCTAAGCTAACTGCTCTGCTTCTATTCCTACAGCTCATGAGTGGTGGGAATCAACCCTCAGCCCTAAGCTGAGAACTGACGCCCAAATTGAGCAGTGAGAGAAACTAGGCCTTGGGACAGCTTATCCAGGACTGGGGTGGATTCTCCATTACGGTGACCTGGGGCACTAGCCAAGCATGGGGCAGAGCAGGGTTCAGTTCCTGGTTTTGCCACTGCCTTTGGGCGTGTTGCTTTGTGCATCTTGTGCCTCAGTCTCCTCATCTCTAAAACGGGGCTAGAGGTGCTGGGATTCCATGCAGAGTGTCATGAGTACATCTATGCCAGGGAGGCTGAGGGTTTTGTAGATTCTCTAACACTGGCCCACTTGCTTCAGACGGGGGAAGATGTCCTGCAGGCTCCTCTTCCTACAAGATGGGCCTTGCTCATGACAGCCCAGGCCACAATTCCAGCAGGGCAAGTGACACATGGGCACTGCTGGGGGGAAGCAGCAAGGCTCAGGGAGGGATGTAAAGAGCAGAAGGGCCGAGCTGATGAAATCTCAGCCTCAGTAGGCACACTCAGGCCTGGGCCAATCCCTCAGCTTGGGATAACTCTTTTCTCCATCACCTTGGTGACAGAGGGGCAAGAGCAGGGTGTCTGGGAGCTCATGGCTCATCACACAAGCATGCACCTTCCCCCCGCCTCCAACTCCTACCAGAGCCCTTCTTTCTTTAGGTACTGCACATGGTCCTTGTACAACACAAAGTTGATCTCAGCCTTCACCTTCTCGCCCTCTTCGATGGGGTCCACCAGCAGAAAGTTACCTGCAATGGTAGAGGGACAGCGTGGAGAGTTTGGCTGGTTTAGGAGATGGGGAATGGGATATAGGGCCTTTCTCCTCTAGGGGGGGCCAGCTCTCATCTAGCCCCAGAGTGGGGTGATGGGGGGACAGGTGAGCAGGGAATGGGACACAGAGCTGCTTCCTCTCTTGGGGTGATAACTCCAAGGATATGGGGCCTTTCCTCTCAAGGGGTGCCATGAACCCAGCTGCACTGTACTCACCTCGTTTGATCCAGATGTTCTTGCGGAATTTTGTGGGCATGCTCACTAAGAATCTGGTTCCCTCAGCCGTTTCCACCTCATGGAGGTTGTTTCCTGGGGTCCCCAGGACCTGGTGGAAGGAACAAGGGGGATTAACCACAGGAGCTGCTTCCCAAGGGAGTGGATTCTCCAGCATTTAGCACCTACAGATCAGGGCCTGTCTCACAGTGACACTCTAGTTCAACCACCAGAGCCAGGCTAGATGCAGGAATGGCTGAAGGGGGTATTCCATAGCCTGACTTATGCAGGAGTTCAGACTAGATGATCAGGCTCCAATTTTGGCCTTGAAATCTACTGCCCACATAGGGCTTTTAAATGGCTTACACTCTGCCTTGCCCATAACACTCACAGCAAGACAATGACTGCCTGAAGCATGGGACTGGACTGCAGGGAGTAGGAAGGGATTTTCTTCCCCAATGCACAATTAGACAGATGTATTTGGGGGTTTTCTTGCCTTCCTCTGAAGCATGAAGCTCACCAGTGTTTAAGGGATATGATTAAGGGCAGGGAAGTGCTGAGATGAGACATGCCCAGATGCTCCCTGCAAGCAACCCACACCCCATGATGCAAAGGAAAGTGAAAACCCTCAAGGTCCCAGTGGAGCCCAGCTAAGCAGCGTTGCTCCCTCTCTCACCCGGACAATCTGCTGTTGAGGAGACGGCACCACGTACTCCTCCAACACCTCTTTCACCACATGCTTGCGTTTGGTTGCTTGGGACATCCTGGTGCGTTAGCCCTCAGGGACAGGATCCCTGCAGGGTGTCTGAAGTGCAGAATGGCTGGAAGGCTATAAGGAGAGAAGGAACAGTAGAGGGAGAAGAGCCTTGTTGCGTCTTCCCAAGATCAAATAAGCTTCTAAAGGCAACGAGTCCCCCAGTGAGAAGGGCACAGGACTGGCAGCCAGGAAATCTGAGTTCTGTTGCAAGCTCTGCTGCTGACTTTGGGCAAGTCCCTTTGCCACTCAGTGCCTCAGTTTTCCCTCTCTCCCCCACAACCCAGACCCTTTGTCTAGATAGGGTACAAGCTCTGTGGGGCAGGGGCTGCTTCTCACTAAGTGTCTGTGTACCGCCTGGCATGATGGCATCAGGGTCTGTACAGCACCCAGGCCACGTAGGCACAGAGTACCTGCCAGCCCCTTAACTGAGATCAGGGCCCCATTGTGTCAGGCACTGTAGAGACACACAGTGAGAGAGAGTCCCTGCCCTGAGGAGCTTGCAGTCTAAATAGACGAAGGGCAGGAGAAAATCAAGCACAGTGAGAAGGGTCATGGAGGGGGCAGAACGGAACCCAGGCAGCCCTGGGTCCCTTGCTATCGCCTTGCCCATTAGACCACACCGCCTATCCATCAAGGATGTCCCTTTGATCCTAGGTTATCAGGAAAGGTTACTAGAGGTGCCCCATCTACCTTCTCTACTCCCCCTAGGATGGGGCAGAGATTGTCTGCTCTCCCAGGAAGCCAGCAGCACCACTACCTGCAAGGTACCTGTTTGGGGGACAAAGAAAGGCTGTCCAACTCTGATAGTAGAGGATCCAGCGCCGAATTCAGTCCTCGAGGCATCCACCAGCACTGGACACACTGGAAGAGGAACAAAGACAACTCTGTGGCTCATCGAAATGGATGGGGACTCCCTCACTCAGGGAATGAGGCAGCTCCAAGATTCCTCCACTCTACTGGAAAATTCCAGGCCAGGCTCCACACATTGTCTCCTGTAGTGTTGTAATAATTCTACTGAGAACAGTTTAGCCACGAATCTCAAAGTGCTTTACCACAAGGAGGTCAGGATCATCAATAGTGAACTGAGGCACAGGGAGGGGAAGGGACAACACAGGCAAACAGTGGGAGGTGAAACTGAGGCAGAGATGGAGCACAACAGGGAATAGATCCCAGGCATCTTGAGTGCCAATTAAGTACACTGTCCCACTGGGCCATGGAAAGATTGCCAGCAATTCTGCTGATGATTGTAGGAGTGAGGTTAATTCTTCGGGGCTGAATCAGCTTCCCAGATAAAAATCTCATCCACATCAGAGAATGAAGCAAAGACCCCACAGAGATCATGGAAACCAAGAAGAGATTGACCCAGCCAGTTTGTGCCATAACCTTGTTATTGTTTCCTTGCAGTCAGAGACAGATGAGTGGGGTCGAGTGAATGAATCACCTCTGTGACTCAGTTTCCCTCACCTAAAAAAATGGGGATAATTCCTCCATTATCAGTCCGTGCTGAGATTCATTCCAGCCTTGCCCTAAGCATTCGACCCCCCCGCCCGAGCTGGGATGGAACCCAGGAGTCCTACCCTCGCCCCCATCGCAGACATTAGTCCCAGCTGATTCTCCAACCCCCCGCCCCCGAGATGCGAGGGCCGGGTCCCCTCCAGGGCTACTGCATGTCACGGGGGTGGGTGCGGGGGAGCTCCTTCCCCTGCGCGGGGTTTATGACCCCGAACCCCCCTTGGGGGCGGGGGGTTTCCTGTTCCCCAAACACCCGCGGGGGCTGGACTGGTGTGAGCGCCTCTGCCGCCGCCCCCCTGGAGCCTCCCGCCCTACCTCTCTCCACATGAGGGGACTGAGTCGCGTCAACCGCTTCCCCCTCCCGAGTCTCCCCCAGCCCTTCCCCGCCCCACTTCCGGGGGTAGCGCTCTGACGTGCTTCCGGGCGCCTCCGCGCCCTGCCCTGGTATCCCCTGGTCCCCTCCCGGGCCCCAGCGCCGTCCCCGGGGCCCGCTAACGCACGGGGCAGCCCGGGGGCGTTATTATGGGATGGAAGGGTTGCTACGGGCCATCCCCAGCGACAATCAGGCGGTGTCAGAGGCTGGCCCCCGCCCATTGGTTACTGCTGGGGTACCATCGAGTTTTCAACTGGCTAGAGTGGCGATTCTGAACTCTGTGGTTCCAAGTGTGGCTGGAGAGTCCCTGCGAGGGCGCCAGGGCTGTCAGCACTCATAGAGCGGATGTAGCCGAGAGAGACCCTGTACTCTATGGTTAAAAGTGTGGATGGATCGCCACTGGGAGGGCTGTCGGGCATTATAGAGCGCCGCCTACTCTCGATGGTTATATGGGGCGCGAAGAGGCGCGCGGCCTAGCGTGGCCTGGAAGAGGAAGTGGTAGGTGCGCAGGCGCGGCGGGTGGCCGGTTGGGCGGGAGCGGTGGCGGCTGAGGCGCTGCAGCAGCGAGTGGAGCCGGTGAGTCGTTGCGGCGCTGGGCGGGGGCCTCGGGCCGGGTGAAGGCGGCGGGGCGGGGCGGTGTCTGTGGCGGAGCCTGAGGGCGCAGGGGAAGGAGGAGCTGAGGGAGGGAGGGATGGGCGCGGGGGCGGGCGGAGACGCTGCTGCTGAGGCGCGGGGTATAGGGTGGGGCTGGGTGTCTCTGTGGGGGTGGGTGAGTTAGGGAGAAGAGGGGTGAGGTTGGAGTGTTTGGGGCTGGGGGAGGGGGGCGGTTCTCTGTAAGGATTGGTGGGGCTGACGGTTCCTGGGGGGAGGGCTGGCCTTATCCAGAGGGGAGGGGAGGGGAGGGGAAGGGAAGGGAAGGGTGCTCTCTATAGAGCAGTAGTTTCCAACCTTTTTAAGTACAAGATGGCTTCTTGAATTTAGCGCAACCTGTGATCTACCCCGCTCTTTCCCCAAGGCCCCACCCCGCTCACTCTATCCCCCCCTCCTTCTGTTGCTCGCTCCCGCCACCCTCACTCGCTTTCACTGTGCTGGGGCAGGGGGTTGGGGTGCAGCAGGGGGTGCGGGCTCTGGGCTGGGGCCGAGGGGTTTGCAGTGTGGGAGGGGGCTCTGGGCTGAGTCTGGGTCAGGGAGTTGGGGTGCAGGAGTGGGTGAGGGGTGTGAGCTCTGGGAGGGGGTGAGGGGTGCAGGAGAGGTTTGGGGTACTGGCTCCATGAGGGGTTTCGGGGCTGGGGCAGGGGGTTGGGGTGTTGGAGGGAGTATGGGGGTGCTGGCTCCAGGAGTGGGTTGGGGTGCAGCTCCTGCTGGACGGCATGTACCTCAGGTGGTAGGGCTAAGGCAGGCTCCCCTCCTGGAAGCTGTTGGCATGTCCCTGCACAGTAGCCCCTGGATGGGGGGCATGGCTAGTAGCTCTGTGTGCTGCCCATCTCTGCAGACGCTGCCCCTGCAGCTCCCATTGGCTGCAGTTCCCATTCCCGGCCAATGGGAGCTGCAGGGGCGGTGCTTGCAGGCAGGAATGGTGTGCGGAGACCCCCTGACCCCACCCTGCCCCCGCAGGGACCTGTCAGCCACTTCTGGGAGTGGTGCGGGGCTGGGGCAGGTAGGGAGCCTGCCTTAGCCCCGCTGCACCCCCAAATTTTTAGCAGCTGGATATGGCAATCGACTGGCAGAGTCAATCGCGATCTACCGGTTGGTGACCACTGCTATAGAGGGTGAGGCTTGAGAGCTCTGTGAGGGTGGCTGGGCTGATGGTATCTGGGGGAGGGTTGAGTTAATGCTAATGATAATCCTTACTTAGCTCTTATCGTTAGTAGATCTCAAGAGATTTGTAAAGGAGGGTCAGTATCATCCTCCATTTTACAGATGTGGAAACTGAGGCACAGAGTTGAAGTGAAGCCCTGGGTCAGTAGCTGAGCTGGGAATAGAACCTGTCATAAATATAAAGGGAAGGGTAAACACCTTTAAATCCCTCCTGGCCAGAGGAAAAACCCTTTAACCTGTAAAGGGTTAAGAACCTAAGACAACCTCACTGGCACCTGACCAAAATGACCAATGGGGAGACCAGATACTTTCAAAGCTGGAGGTGGGGGAAACAAAGGGATCTGTCTGTGTTGCTTTTGCTGGGACCAGAGCAGGAATGCAGGTCAGAACTCCTGTAAAGGGTTAATAAGCAATCTAGTTAGATGTGTTAGATTCTGATTTGTTTAAATGGCTGATAAAATAAGTTGTGCTGAACGGAATGTATATTCCTGTTTTTGTGTCTTTTTGTAATTTAAGGTTTTGCCTAGAGGGATTCTCTATGTTTTGAATCTGATTACCCTGTAAGGTATTTACCATCCTGATTTTACAGAGGTGATTCTTTTTCTTCAATTAAAATTCTTCTTTTAAGAACATGATTGCTTTTCATTGTTCTTAAGATCCAAGGGTTTGGGTCTGTGTTCACCTATGCAAATTGGTGATGATTTTTATCAAGCTTTCCCCAGGAAAGGGGGTGTAGGGCTTTGGGGGGATTTTGGGGGGAAAGACGTTTCCAAGTGGGCTCTTTCCCGGTTATATTTGTTAGACGCTTGGTAGTGGCATCAGTAAAGTCCAGGGACAAAAGGTAAAATAGTTAAAATAAAATAAAAAAAAAATAAGCTTAGGGGGTTTTTCATGCTGGTCCCCACATCTGTACCCTAGAGTTCAAAGTGGGAAAGGAACCTTGACAGAACCCAAGTCTTTTGAGTCTAGTTTAGTGCTCTACCCACTAGACTACATTGTGGGGAAGGGAGGGGTAGAGTGCAGGTGTCTGAAATTGTTTTTTTTTGTAGAGGACAGTGTTCAGAGTGTTGGGCAGGTGTGGTGAGTTAGGGTATGTCTACACTACGGAATAAGGTCGAATTTATAGAAGTCGTTCTTTTAGAAATCGGTTTTATATATTTGAGTATGTGTGTCCCCACAGAAAATGCTCTAAGTGCATTAAGTGCATTAACTCGGCGGAGCGCTTCCACAGTACCGAGGCTAGAGTCGACTTCCGGAGCGTTGCACTGTGGGTAGCTATCCCACAGTTCCCGCAGTCTCTGCTGCCCATTGGAATTCTGGGTTGAGATCCCAATGCCTGATGGGGCTAAAACATTGTCGCGGGTGGTTCTGGGTACGTATCGTCAGGCCCCCGTTCCCTCCCTCCCTCCGTGAAAGCAAGGGCAGACAATCATTTCGCGCCTTTTTTCCTGAGTTACCTGTGCAGACGCCATACCACGGCAAGCATGGAGCCCGCTCAGGTAACCGTCACCCTATGTCTCCTGGGTGCTGGCAGACGCGGTACGGCTTTGCTGCACAGTAGCAGCAACCCATTGCCTTCTGGCAGCAGACGGTGCAATACGACTGGTAGTCGTCCTCGTCGTGTCCGAGGTGCTCCTGGCCACGTCGGCTGGGAGCGCCTGGGCAGACATGGGCGCAGGGACTAAACTTGGAGTGACTTGACCAGGTCATTCTCTTTAGTCCTGCAGTCAGTCCTATTGAACCGTCTTATGGTGAGCGGGCAGGCGATACGGACTGCTAGCAGTCGTACTGTACCATCTTCTGCCAGGCAGGCAAGAGATGAGGATGGCATGCAGTCCTTCTGCACCGTCTGCTGCCAGCCAAAGATGTAAAAGATAGATGGAGTGGGTCAAAACAAGAAATAGACCAGATTTGTTTTGTACTCATTTGCCTCCTCCCCTGTCTAGGGGACTCATTCCTCTAGGTCACACTGCAGTCACTCACAGAGAAGGTGCAGCGAGGTAAATCTAGCCATGTATCAATCAGAGGCCAGGCTAACCTCCTTGTTCCAATAAGAACGATAACTTAGGTGCACCATTTCTTATTGGAACCCTCCGTGAAGTCCTGCCTGAAATACTCCTTGATGTACAGACACCCCCTTTGTTGATTTTAGCTCCCTGAAGCCAACCCTGTAAGCCGTGTCGTCAGTCGCCCCTCCCTGCGTCAGAGCAACGGCAGACAATCGTTCCGCGCCTTTTTTCTGTGCGGACGCCATACCAAGGCAAGCATGGTGGCCGCTCAGCTCACTTTGGCAATTAGGAGCACATTAAACACCACACGCATTATCCCGCAGTATATGCAGCATCGGAACCTGGCAAAGCGATACCGGGCGAGGAGGCAACGTCAGCACGGTCACGTGAGTGATCAGGACATGGACACAGATTTCTCTGAAAGCATGGGCCCTGCCAATGCATGCATCATGGTGCTAATGGGGCAGGTTCATGCTGTGGAACGCCGATTCTGGGCTCGGGAAACAAGCACAGACTGGTGGGACCGCATAGTGTTGCAGGTCTGGGACGATTCCCAGTGGCTGCGAAACTTTCGCATGCGTAAGGGCACTTTCATGGAACTTTGTGACTTGCTTTCCCCTGCCCTGAGGCGCATGAATACCAAGATGAGAGCAGCCCTCACAGTTGAGAAGCGAGTGGCGATAGCCCTGTGGAAGCTTGCAACGCCAGACAGCTACCGGTCAGTTGGGAATCAATTTGGAGTGGGCAAATCTACTGTGGGGGCTGCTGTGATGCAAGTAGCCCACGCAATCAAGGGTAGTGACCCTGGGAAATGTGCAGGTCATAGTGGATGGCTTTGCTGCAATGGGATTCCCTAACTGTGGTGGGGCCATAGACGGAACCCATATCCCTATCTTGGCACCGGAGCACCAAGCCGCCGAGTACATAAACCGCAAGGGGTACTTTTCAATAGTGCTGCAAGCTCTGGTGGATCACAAGGGACATTTCACCAACATCAACGTGGGATGGCCGGGAAAGGTGCATGATGCTCGCATCTTCAGGAACTCTGGTCTATTTCAAAAGCTGCAGGAAGGGACTTTATTCCCAGACCAGAAAATAACTGTTGGGGATGTTGAAATGCCTATATGTATCCTTGGGGACCCAGCCTACCCCTTAATGCCATGGCTCATGAAGCCGTACACAGGCAGCCTGGACAGTAGTCAGGAGCTGTTCAACTACAGGCTGAGCAAGTGCAGAATGGTGGTAGAATGTGCATTTGGACGTTTAAAGGCGCGCTGGCGCAGTTTACTGACTCGCTTAGACCTCAGCGAAACCAATATTCCCACTGTTATTACTGCTTGCTGTGTGCTCCACAATATCTGTGAGAGTAAGGGGGAGACGTTTATGGCGGGGTGGGAGGTTGAGGCAAATCGCCTGGCTGCTGGTTACGCGCAGCCAGACACCAGGGCGGTTAGAAGAGCACAGGAGGGCGCGGTACGCATCAGAGAAGCTTTGAAAACCAGTTTCATGACTGGCCAGGCTACGGTGTGAAAGTTCTGTTTGTTTCTCCTTGATGAAACCCTCCGCCCCTTGGTTCGCTCTACTTCCCTGTAAGCTAACCACCCGCCCCTCCTCCCTTCAATCACCGCTTGCAGAGGCAATAAAGTCACATTCATGCATTCTTTATTCATTCATCACACAAATAGGGGGATGACTACCAAGGTAGCCCAGGAGGGGTGGTGGAGGAGGGAAGGAAAATGCCGCACAGCACTTTAAGCACAGCACTTTAAAAGTTTACAACTTTAAAATTTATTGAATGACAGCCTTCTTTTTTTTGGGCAATCCTCTGTGGTGGAGTGGCTGGTTGGCCGGAGGCCCCCCCACCGCGTTCTTGGGTGTCTGGGTGTGGAGGCTATGGAACTTGGGGAGGAGGGCGGTTGGTTACAGAGGGGCTGCAGTGGCAGTCTGTGCTCCAGCTGCCTTTGCTGCAGCTCAACCATACACTGGAGCATACTGGTTTGGTCCTGCAGCAGCCTCAGCATTGAATCCTGCCTCCTCTCATCACGCTGCTGCCACATTTGAGCTTCAGCCCTCTCTTCAGCCCGCCACTTCTCCTCCCGGTCATTTTGTGCTTTCCTGCACTCTGACATTATTTGCCTCCACGCATTCGTCTGTGCTCTGTCAGTGTGGGAGGACAGCATGAGCTCGGAGAACATTTCATCGCGAGTGCATTTTTTTTTCTTTCTAAGCTTCACTAGCCTCTGGGAAGGAGAAGATCCTGTGATCATTGAAACACATGCAGCTGGTGGAGGGAAAAAAAAGGGACAGCGGTATTTAAAAAGACACGTTTTATAAAACAGTGGCTACACTCTTTCAGGGTAAACCTTGCTGTTAACATTACATACATAGCACATGTGCTTTCTTTACAAGGTCGCATTTTGCCTCCTCCCACCGCGTGACTACCCCCTCAACCTTCCCCCCTCCCTGTGGCTAACAGCGGGGAACATTTCTGTTTAGCCACAGGCAAACAGCCCAGCAGGAATGGGCTCCTCTGAGTGTCCCCTGAAGAAAAGCACTCTATTTCAACCAGGTGACCATGAATTATATCTCACTCTCCTGAGGATAACACAGAGAGATAAAGAACGGATGTTGTTTGAATGCCAGCAAACATACACTGCAATGCTTTTTTCTACAATGATTCCCGAGTACGTGTTACTGGCCTGGAGTGGTAAAGTGTCCTACCATGAAGGACGCAATAAGGCTGCCCTCCCCAGAAACCTTTTGCAAAGGCTTTAGGACTACATCTAAGAGAACCGCAAATGCCAGGGCAAAGTAATCCTTTCACATGCTTGCTTTTAAACCATGTATAGTATTTTAAAAGGTACACTCACCAGAGGTCCCTTCTCCGCCTGGTGGGTCCAGGAGGCAGCCTTGGGTGGGTTCGGGGGGTACTGGCTCCAGGTCTAGGGTGAGAAACAGTTCCTGGCTGTCGGGAAAACCGGTTTCTCCGCTTGCTTGCTGTGAGCGATCTACAACCTCATCATCATCATCTTCTTCGTCCCCAAAACCTGCTTCCGTATTGCCTCCATCTCCATTGAAGGAGTCAAACAACACGGCTGGGGTAGTGGTGGCTGAACCCCCTAAAATGGCATGCAGCTCATCATAGAAGCGGCATGTTTGGGGCTCTGACCCAGAGCGGCTGTTTGCCTCTCTGGTTTTCTGGTAGGCTTGCCTCAACTCCTTCAGTTTCACGCGGCACTGCTTCGGGTCCCTGTTATGGCCTCTGTCCTTCATGCCCTGGGAGATTTTGACAAAGGTTTTGGCATTTCGAAAACTGGAACGGAGTTCTGATAGCACAGATTCCTCTCCCCAAACAGCGATCAGATCCCGTACCTCCCGTTCGGTCCATGCTGGAGCTCTTTTGCGATTCTGGGACTCCATCATGGTCACCTGTGCTGATGAGCTCTGCATGGTCACCTGCAGCTTGCCACGCTGGCCAAACAGGAAATGAGATTCAAAAGTTCGCGGTTCTTTTCCTGTCTACCTGGCCAGTGCATCTGAGTTGAGAGTGCTGTCCAGAGCGGTCATAATGGAGCACTCTGGGATAGCTCCCGGAGGCCAATACCATCGAATTGTGTCCACAGTACCCCAAATTCGAGCCGGCAACGTCGATTTAAGCGCTAATCCACTTGTCAGGGGTGGAGTAAGGAAATCGATTTTAAGAGCCCTTTAAGTCGAAATAAAGGGCTTCATTGTGTGGACAGGTGCAGGTTTACATCGATTTAACGCTGCTAAATTCGACCTAAAGTCCTAGTGTAGACCAGGGCTTAGGGAGAGGAGGATCTCTGGTGGTGAGAGAGGGGTTGGGGTATAGTGGGTGTGTCTGAAGGCTGGGAGTGTCTAGTGATGGGTGGTATCTGTTGGGGCTGAAAGTGTCTGGCTATTGGCAGGATTGGGATGGGAGCGAACAATGGAAGGTGTTTCTGAATGGGTGGAGAGAGGATCTGAGGGGTGGATCTGGGAGGAGAGAGGTGGGGCTGAGGGTGTCTGGAGAAGGGAGGGAGGGGGTCTTTCTGGTGAAGGAAGGGTGAGGGTGTGTGTAGGGGAGGATGCATCTGGTGAGGATAGGCCAAGAGCAGGATCTCTAAAAGAGCTTAGGGTGTCTGGAGAAAAGGTGTCTTTTGGGAGGCAGGGGGTACAGAATTGGAGCAAGGGGCTTGTTGGTATTTGGAGGCAAGGAGGGGCAGAGGGTGCATGTGGAAGGGAGGGAGTTATCTCTGAGGTTGGGTGCTCTGCAGAAAGCGGGGAATTCAGGGGCCTTTGGTGGGACTGTCACAGATAGACAGGTCCAGTGCCCTTTACAGCCTTGGAATAGTCTGTGGAACGACCCCTTTAGTGTGTTGACCCCTTTAGGGTTATGCTCTCTTGCTGGGGTAAGCCCTTTGGCTTCACCGCCTCCTGGGACTGAACCTCAGAGCCTTTAATACCCCTGCTAACTCTGTGAGCTTCCCTCAGTGAGTCCACTCAAACTGGACATCTGGGGAACACTTACACACCCAAAGGGAGCAATGCAGCCCTGACTTTCTGACTTTGGAGTGACTCAGCCAGTGTTAAAACAGAAGGATTTATTAGACTACTCAAGGAGCTGACTGAGGAGATATCTGAGCCATGAGTGATTATCTTCAAAAAGTCATGTAAGACTGGAGAGATTCCAGAGGACTGGAAAATGACACTATATTTGCCTATCTATAAAAAGGGAAATAAGGACAACCCAGAGAATTACAGACCAGTCAGCTTAATTTCAGTACTCAGAAAGATAATGGAGCAAATAATTAAGCAATCATTGTGCAAACACTTAGGTCAGGGGTGGGCTAACTATGGCCTGTGGGCCAGATCCAGCCCACCAGCCATTTTAATCCAGCCCTCGAGCTCCCGCTCGGGAGCAGGGTCTGTTACTTTCCCCACTCTGGTGCTCTAGTCAGGGAGCAGGGTCAGGGGCCGCTCCATGTGGCTCCTGGAAGCAGCAGCATGGCCCCCTCCAGTTCTCCAGCCTTGGAGCAGGGTTGGGGCCATGCCACGCGACTCCCGGCAGCATGGCCCCCCCTATGTGTAGGGGCAGCCAGGGGCCTCCGCTCTGCATGCTGCCCCCACCCCAAGCACCGCCCCTGCAGCTCCCATTGGCCGAAAACCTCATCCAGTGGGAACTTTCTGGGGTCAGTGCCTGCGGGCAGGGCCATGTGTAGAGCTGCCTGGCTGCGCCTAGCATAGGAGCTGGAGCGGGAACATGCCACTGTTTCCCGGAGCTGCTTGAGGTAAGTGCCACCCGGAGCCTGCACCCCTGCCCCAGCCCTGATCTCCCTCCTGCCTTCCAGACCCCTCAATCCCAGCCCGGAGCACCCTCCTACATCTCAAACTTCTCATCCTCAGCCCCACCCCAGAGCCTGCACCCCTAGCCGGTGCCCTCACCCCTTCCCGCACCCCAAATCCAATTTTGTGAGCATTCATGGCCTGCCGTACAATTTCTATTCCCTGATGTGGCCCTCAGGCCAAAAAGTTTGCCCACGCCTGACCTAGATGATAATGATAAGTAGTGGTCAGAATGGATTTGTCAAGAGCATATTAAGTCAAACCAACCTAATATCTTTCTTTGACAGGGTAACAAGCCTTGTGGATAGAGGGGAAGCCATAGATGTGGTATGTCTTGACTTTTAGTAAGGCTTTTGATACTGTCTCGCGTGACCTTCTCATAAATAGACTAGGGAAATACAACCTACGTGGAGCTACTATAAAGTGGGTACATAACTGGTTGGAAAACTGTTCCCAGAGTAGCTATCAGTAGGGCTATCAAGTGCTTAAACAAATTAATTGTGCTTAATAATAGAAAACCATTTATTTAAACATTTTTGTATGTTTTCTACCTTTTCAAATGTATTGATTTCAATTACAACACAATATAAAGTGTACAGTGCTTACTTTATATTTGATTACAAATATTTCCACTGTAAAAAACAAAAATAGTATTTTTCAATTCACCTCATACAAGTACTGTAGTGCAATCTCTTTATCATGAAAGTTTAACTTCCAAATGTCAAATTGTGTACAAAAACCCCCTGCATTCAAAAATAAAACAATGTCAAACTTTAGAGCCTATAAGTCCACTCAGTCTTATTTCTTCTTGTTCGGGCAATCACTCAGACAAACAAGTTTGTTTACATTTGCAGGAGATAATGCTGCCCACTTCTTGTTCACAATGTCACCTGATAATGAGAACAGGCATTTGCACAGCACTGTTGTAGCCAGTGTCGCAAGATATTTATGTACCAGATGTGTTAAAGATTCATCTGTCCCTTCATGCTTCAACTGCCATTACAGAGGACATGCATCCATGCTGATGATGGGTTCTGCTCTATAGCAATCCAAAGCAGTACAGACTGACCCATGTTCATTTTCTTCATCTGAGTTAGTTGCCACCAGCAGAAGATTGATTTTCTTTTTTGGTAGTTTGGGTTCTGTAATTTCCACATCAGAGAGTTGCTCTTTTAAGACTTCTTGAAAGCATTCTCCACACCTCATACCTCTCAGATTTTGGAGGGCACTTCAGATTTTTAAATCTTGGGTCGACTGCTGTAGCTATCTTTAGAAATCTCACATTGGTACCTTCTTTGCGTATTGTCAAATCTGCAGCGAAAGTGTTCTTAAAATGAATGTGTGCTGAGTCATCTTCTGAGACTACATGAAATATATGGCAGAATGTGGGTAAAACAGAGCCGGAGATATACAATTCTCCTTCAAGGAATTCAGTCACAAATTTAATTAACACCTGATTTTTTTAATGAGCGTCATCAGCATGGAAGCATGTCCTCTGGAATGGTGGCCGAAGCATGAAGGAACATACAAATGTTTAGCATATCTGACATGTAAATACCTTGCAATGCTGGCTACAAAAGTCCCATGCGAATGCCTATTCTCACTTTCTGGTGACATTGTAAATAAGAAATGGGCAGCATTATTTCCTGTAAATGTAAACAAACTTGATTGTCTTAGTGATTGGCTGAACAAGAAGTAGGACTGAGTGGACTTGTAGGCTCTAAAGTTTTACATTTTGTTTTTGAGTGCAGTTATGTAACAAAAACTACATTTCTAAGTTGCACTTTCATAATAGAGATTACACTACAGTACTTGTATGAGGTGAATAGAAAAATACTATTTCTTTATAATTTTTACAAGTGCAAATAGTTGTAATGAAAAATAATATAAAGTGAGCACTGTACACTTTGTATTCTGTGTTGTAATTGAAATCAATATATTTGAAAATCTAGAAAAAACGTAGAAATATTTAATTTCACTTGCTATGTTATTTAACAGTGTGATTAAAACGGCGATTAGTTGTGATTAATTTTTTTGAGTTAATCATGCGAGTTAACTGTGATTAATCAACAGCCCCAGTTATCAGTGGTTCACAGTCAAACTGGAAGGACATATCAAGTGGGGTCCCACAGGGATCAGTTCTGGATTCAGTTCTGTTCAATATCTTCATCGGAGATTTAGATAATGGCGCAGAGTACACTTATAAAGTTTGTGGACCATACTAAGTTGGGAGCGGTTGCAAGTGCTTTGGAGGATAGAATTAAAATTCAAAATGATCTCAACAAACTGGAGAAATGGTCTGAAGTAAATAGGATGTAATTCAATAATGACTAATATAAAATATTCCACTTAGGAAGGAACAATCAGTTGCATGCATACAAAATGGGAAATGACTAGGGAGGAGTTCTGCAGAAAGGCATCTGGGGGGTCATAGTGGATCACAAGCTAAATATGAGTCAATGGTTGTAACACTGTTCCAAAAAAAGCAAACATCATTTTGGGATGTAATAGCAGTAGTGTTGTAAGCAAGACACAAGAACTAATTCTTCTGCTCTACTCCGCACTGAGTATTGTATCCAGTTCTGGGCACCGCATTTCAGGAAAGATGTGGACAAATTGGAGAAAGTCCAGAGAAGAGCAACAAAAATTATTCAAGGTCTAGAAAACATGACCTATGAGGGAAGATTGAAAAAATTGGGTTTGTTTAGTCTGGAGAAGAGAAGTCTGAGAGGGGAAATAATGAAAATTTTCAAGTACATAAAAAGTTGTTAAAAGGAGGGAGAAAATTTGTTCTATTTAACCCCTGAGGATAGGACAAGAAGCAATGGGCTTAAATTGCAGCAAGGGTGGTTTAGGTTGGACATTAGGAAAAAAATTCCTAACTGTCAAGGTGGTTAAACACTGGAATCAATTGCCTAGGGAGGTTGTGGAATCTCCATCATTGGAGATTTTTAAGAGCAGGTTACACAGACACCTGTCAGGGGTGGTCTAGATAACACTTAGTCCTGCCTTGAGTGCAGGGGACTGGATTCGATGACCTCTCGAGGTCCTTTCCAGTCCTATGATTCTATTAGATGTCTGGAACATAGCTTAGAAAGTCCTCTGTTTGCTGTAACTTTCTATTCTCTATGCTAAGTCCATCTGGGTCAGTCCAGAGCCCAGAGCTCTCTCTGACCTCCCTTGAGACCCAGTCCAGAAGTCAAGAGCTTGCTTCCAGGAGCCCATGCTTAACAAACATCAAAGGCCCCTCTCCGTCTTTTGTTCTTGTTCCTGGGCAGACTTTGTCATCTGGTCTCCTCAGGCCTTTGTTCTCCAGCTGCTCAAAACTGGCTGGTTTCCTGAAGAGGGTGGGACCCCTTCATTGGTTGCTAGGTGCCAAATGGCGGGGCAGTTGTAATGGCCATTGTCTGTTGGGGCTATCCATGGGCATGGAGCCCCACTGGCCCCAGACAGCCAGGCCTCAGTCATACCTGTATCTCTAGGCCTCTGCAAAGAGCAAACGACCCTTTCCCCCCACCTAGTTAACCAGGCACCACATAGGAAAACTGAGGTACACACAATATTCACACAAAATGTTATGAAAAATTCCCACTCCATCACAGGGGGTCTCTAGGGAAGGCTGAGGAGGAGAATGAGGCTGAAGGTATCTGGATGGGGCTTAGTATTGTGACAGGAACAGTGGAGCGGCTTTGCAGGATTAGGTTATGGAGGAGTTGGGGTATCTGCATGGGAGGTTGGAGGGGTCTGCTGAAGGAGGTTGGGATCTAGTGGGTGGGAAATCTGGAAGCGGAATGATGCTGGAGAATTTGGGGGGTTGTTGGAAGTGGGGAGAGGTGATCTCAGGAGAATTGGGGTTGGGACAAATGCATGGGGACAGGTCTGGAAGCACTCAGGTGTTGGATAGGTTTTGTTGCTTGGGGCAAGAGCCCTGGAAGACGGTCAGCGGAGAAGTGGGCTGAGACTCCTGGGGGGAGGAGTTGGTCCTGGGACATCAGTCTTCCTTCCCATCCCTTAAAGCTTCTAACTAAAACCATAATGTGTCCAGTCCTCCCTCTGCTTGTGAGGTGTGGATAGGGAAGTTGACTAGGAAACATGCCTCAAGAAAAATCTTTGCTCCGTGTAAAGTCCAAGGCTACCATTTTCTCCTCCTGTCAGATCAGAGTGTGATAGACTTGAGTTACAAGACTAGGAAGTTGGTTAATTCCTGATCTGGGAATTCCCTCTCCAGTGGACAGAAAATATAAAGCGGGGAACAGCTTTAAGTACAAATAACCATTTTTTGTACTGTTGACTACTTTTGTTGACCACGTACCAGAAGCTCTTTATTACTGCCTTAGCTATGTGTTAGCACCATGTGTTCTGCTCCTGGCCTCTTGGTAGATGAGTCCATTTCCAGTGGCTTCATTTGTTCTCATTAGTTTGCAGTTATCTTGTTTACCCGTGTAAACACTCAATTAAGTGAGCTAACACTGTGGGTGACTAGTTCAAATATTAATATAAGAATCCTGGGTAAAATTTGACACTAGCCGTCAGGTATCTTAGAAGCTATTTTTATTAGCTTCTTCCCGGAAAAATAAAATTCAACACTTTATGAAACAGATTTCTCTCCCCTGCCCCTGTGATTCAGGGCTTGTTTATTTTAAGTAAGTAATTTACAATTGCTACAACTACCCTGGGAAACTAAAAATAAAATTGAAATACTTCATTCTGTCTCATTATTGCAGCTGAGAGCTGTGATAAAGGTGTTAGGCTTCCTACAACTAAATAATGTTTTTATATTGCAATAGTGATCAAAGGCGCTGCTGTGGCAGGCTCTGTACACAGACCATTCTTGGCCCATATTCCAATCTTCCTTAGTATTTTCTTTAAGGCTAAAAGGGACCATTATGTCCATTCTGACCTCCTGCATAATGCCAGCCATAGAATTTCACCTAATTACCTCTGTATTGAGCCCATTCACTTCCCTCAGTTACATTCAGACTGGCCTGCATGACACAGGAGATATATATAGAACTGGTATATACATCCCCTCTTCTATATATAGCGTTGGGCACTAGCCATGCAGTTTATAGCTAGTCTGAAAGTGATCTGTGTGCCTGAGCAGTATTCTCAGAGGTTTGGCTGATGATGAATCCGAACTGTGGTCTCTCTGATCTGTGGAAGACCTGTTAAAATCTGAGATCACAACTATAAAGGACTTTTGTGGGCATCTGTTCACAACGGAACTGCTGGAATCTTACTATGATTAGTAGGGTCTTGTAAATAGTAAGTACCAGCACTTGTTTCTGTCCTCACTTAAAACTTAGAGTGGATAAGATCTTTCATTTTGCACCAAAATATAGTTCATACGTATTCAAGTCCCCAAATCCTGACGGAGTGGGTGCAGCTAACTTTGATCTCTGGTGCAGCAGGATTCAGGGCTCTGTGGCGCATGCCTCTTATTACAGTGTATACTGACCTCTGTCTTTCTCTTCTTTTAGATCAAGCACCAGCCAGTATGTCGTCCACCTCCCAGAAGCACCGGGACTTTGTGGCTGAGCCCATGGGGGAGAAGCCCGTGGGAACTCTGGCCGGAATTGGGGATGTTCTTGGAAAGAAGCTGGCGGATAAAGGCTTTGACAAGGTCTCTGGAGACTTTTTTTGGGGGGGGCACAGCTCTCTGTGTCTTTAGAGGTGTGGAGTTCATAAAAATCAGCTGTGGCTGGGTCAGTGGCTTGAGTGAAACCATGTGGGAAATTGGGGCTTGAAATTGACCCACTAGCAATTTTGGAGCATCTTGGATAACTCCAAGGGACAAAAGATCCTCTTAAATCACGTGCCAACACAGGGCACCTTCTCCCTGTGATGTTCCTGTCACAAGGGGAGCTGGCCCTTTAAGGGGATTATGGCTCTTCTAGATGTAGCCCACCTCCCCTAGTGGAGAGAAGGGATAGTTAGATGCTGGGGGAGCATGGGACTTAGAACCAGACTTGTTGAGAATGGGTAGGAAGGCAGCCTGAATTCAGGGAGAGCAGATGTGGGAGTGAGTGCTCCATTAAAGAGCAGGCAGAATATCCAAGGAGGAGGCCTAGGCTGTTCTCCAAAGGTCGTAGGTGGGCCTGGGGTAGATGGGAGGGAGAAGAGGCTGCTAGAAAAACCGCAGCAGGGATGGGACTAAGAGGGGGGTGGGCAAGCTATGGCCCCTCAGGGCTTTGGATCCGGCCCGCAGGATTGCCACCCCTATGGCGCTGCGGACTCCGCGCCTCTCTGGGAAGTGGCCGGCACCATGTCCCTGCGGCCCCTGAGGAACGGGGGGCAGAGGGCTGAGCACGCTGTCCTTGCCTGTGGGTACCTCCCCTGAATTCCCATTGGCCGGGAATGGGGAACTGTGGCCAATGGGAGCTTCGGGGGAGGTACCCACAAGTAAGGGCAGTGTGCTCAGCCCTCTGCCCCTCTCTCCCCCAGGGGCTGCAGGGATGTGGTGCGGGGCCAGGGCAGGCAGGCAGGGAGCCTGCCCTGGTCCTGGTGTGTGCTGCTCCCACCCTGGAGCTGCTCCAGGTAAGCGGTGCCAGATTGGCGCCTGCACCCCTCCTGCACCCCAACTCCCTGCCCAGAGCCCCCTGCTACACCTCACACCCTTCCTGCACCCCTGCCCTGAGCCCCCTCCTGCACTATGCACCCACTCCTGCACCCCAACCCCCTTCCCTGAGCCCCCTCGTACACCCCGCACTCCTCCTCTGCCCCAACCCCTTGCCCTGAGCCCCTTTCTGCAGAGCGCACCCTTTCCCACACCCCAACCCCCTGCCCCAGCCCTACATTCATGGCCCTGCATGCAGTTTCCCAACCCAGATGTGGCCCTTAGTCCAGGGGTGGGCAAACTTTTTGGCCCAAGAACCTCTGCGTCAAGGGTGTGAGCCAACTAGGAAGGCTTGGTGGGGGAGAGATCTGTGGTTTGAACTCTACATTAATAAACCAGACTCCTGAAAAGGAAAGGATTAGTGAGAAAACATCTGCTGTCTGAGATCTGATGAACTAGAGAAGGGGAAACTGAGGTAGGGCCAAAAACCACATTGGGTAAGCCCTGCTGTAGTAACAAGGTAAGAAATGGGACAAGTGACAATCTGCCTTAACCAGCATCTTCCTTAAAAAATCACTGTCACACACTTACAGGATTGCCCAGGCACTCAGATTTGGAAGAGCAAGCCTGACCACAGCCTAATCCCTGTGATCTCTTCAGAGGTTCTAAAGCCCTTAATTCCCCTTTCATCGGAATTGATATGCCTCGTAATTGTCATAAATACAAAAGCTCCAGGCAATCAATTCTCCAGACCCCTTGTTTTAAAATATCCAGCTGCCCTCTGGTGTGGAATCCCTTGGATGTGGAAGGAAATCCTTTCATGCACTGTCACCTTGAGTTGTAGAGATCAGAGATCCCAGCTGCTGTGGTTTGGGTGAATGCAAGACTTTTATTTCTTCCTTGCTAAATGTGCCCCCTAGAGGTCACCCTGAATAATGGCTCTAGATGTTCACAACTAACACCAGAGTGCAGTGGCCTGGAACTCAGGCCTGGGTTCAACTCCACCTGAGCCACAGACTTCCTATGTGACCTTGGGCAAATCCACACTTAAGCTTCATTGGCCTAGCTGTGTCAGAGAGGGGTGTGACTTTTTTGCTGACAGCTAGGTTGGAAAAGTATAGAGGCTGTTACACCTGCAAGAGGACTGTTCTGCCAGTACGCAGCTTATCCTGGGAGGGTTTGCTGTTAGCTGTGTTGCCAAATCTTAAGTTTAGACAAGGCCTTAACTCACTCTGTGCCTCAGTTCCCTGTCTGTAAAACAGGGATAATGCTCCCATCATTCACTTTCCTGCGAGGTTAAAGCCCATTGATCTGTGAGGTGCTCAGCTGCAAGTTGTTAGTATTGAGATTGCTCTATGGGACAGTGTAAAAGCTGTTCAGCTATCACTCACCCTTTAGAAACCAATCAGTGGGCAACCTGGGGCTGTCCTCTCCTCTCCTCCATTTAGCAGCGGGTTTTGTGTGTATTTTAACTATCAGTTGTGATACCCTTTCCTTTCTGTGCTCAGGCATATGTGGTACTTGGACAATTCCTGGTTCTGAAGAAAGATGAAGAACTCTTCCGGGAATGGCTGAAAGACACGTGTGGAGCCAACGCCAAGCAATCCAGAGACTGTTCTGGCTGCCTGCGGGAGTGGTGCGACGCCTTCTTGTGAATGTTGGCTATTGTTGCCTCCGCACCAGCAGTCACTATTATGGCTTTCATAGTTAGCAGGGAAAAAAAAATCTTCCCAACCCTTCCACTTTGTACCCAAATCAAAGGGCAGAATGGAATTAATAATTTATGGAAACCCTGTGGCATTTAGAATGTCTATTTACATGGCTCTCATCTCTAGCCAGAAAGAAAATAATTGTCCCTGGAACCTGCTGTTAGTGTAACTAACCAGATTTCTTCTGGGGAAAGAGAGGGTAATGTTCTATTCTACACCTTTGTTAGATCTTTGTTTTGAATTTTATAGATACAGGGTTCCTCACTGTTTCAGACCAGCTAACTCCTAAAGCCTTAATAATCCACGTGCTTGTAAAGGGGAGCGTTTTCATTGTCTTAATTCGAACTCTTATTGATATGCGGCTTGCTCACTGTTAGTTTAAAAAAAAGTTGTGGTTTTAAGCTTATTCTGGCTTATTTCTGGAGCAGTTATTTGAGGACCCTCCAGATTGTTTTATGCCACTTGGCTTTCTTTGGAAAAGTAACAGTGGAAGAAAACATTGTAACATTTTTTTAAAACAATAAAAATCAGCTGTGTTAATATTCCGGAGCTGCTCTTGGTTTAACTTGTTTACTAGGGGATCTGGGAGGTGGTGGAGCAGATGCAGATGGGGTGTTCGTTGCAGAAGGGCATAGCACTATGAAGGTGGGGCACATTCTCTTGGAGACTTAGATCTGGGCTGGAGAGCAGGCTGCTGGGAGCTGGTGTTGAAAATCTAGTCTGAGCCTGTGAAGGACCTCTGTCCCGTTTACATTTCCCTGAGTTTTTAGAGGTACTGGCCGTTTAAGACATTGTGTTTCTAGCCTTTCAGTTCAGCTCCAACTCTCCTTAAATCCTTATGTTGCCTGGCAGCAGGACCCTAGGGAGTCAGGTCTTCCTCCAGCTTGTGGAGTGCAAGAGAAGGGATACCTGTTCTGGCTGGCAGGTTTCCCCCAGCAGTGTTACCCTAGTCCTTGGGGTTTCTGGTCCAGCGTGTTGGGCAACTTCCTCCCAGTTTGCTGCCTGACGCAAGGTAGTCCTCAGCCTCTCAGACAGCTGTGCTCCCTGCCTGGGATGCAGCCCATATCCAAATGTTGCTGGTCACCCACTTAACTGGAGATGGGGAGATAGCTATTCTGCCCCTTAACCCCTTAGTGGCTGTGACAATGGGGTTTATATACCCCATCACAGAAGGCTTGTCCCATTTTTGAGGGGGGCAGGCTGTGAACCAGTAACTTGCCACACTTCATCTGGTGGTAGCAATGGTAAAAGCCAAAATAGTACTGAAAGGACTCACATTCCACTGTCATCTAAGCCTGCTTGGAGCTGTCACATCTCCCTATGGTTGAATATTACACTGGGAATGCACATTCCAGATGTGGACAAATTCCGTGGGGCAGAAAAATCTTATCACAGGAAAGTGTCTTGGCAGCCAAGAGCCACCTATTGTATTGGGAAGACTGGCAGAAGCTCTGGCCAACATCATCACTTCTGCTCTGCAGGTGCTCAATCCTCAGATGGTGAGGGTGGGCCCTGGTACCTAAGGTAGTTCAGACAGCTCATGTAGGGGACAGGATTAGAACTTAAAACTACCTTGACAAATTAAAGAATTTGTCTGAAATCAAGACAAAAGTAAAGACAAGTGCAAAGTGTGCTTAGAAAGTAAAAACCAAATGAACCAATGCATGATGGGGAAGAGTCGGCTAGGTGGTTGTACTGCTGAAAAGGATCTAGAGATGAGTGGATTACAAATTGGACATGAGTCAACAATGTGATTAAGCTGCAAAAAAGTCTTAATATTCTGGGGTGTGTTAGCAGGAGTAATGTAAGTAAAATATGGGAGGTAATTGTCCTGCTCTACTTAGCACTGAGGAATCTTAGGAAAGATGTGGACAAACTGGAGAGAGAGGCCCAAGGCTTAGAAAACCTATGAGGAAAGGTTAAAAAAAACTAGGAATGTTTAGTTTTTTGGTTTCAGAGTAACAGCCGTGTTAGTCTGTATTCGCAAAAAGAAAGGGAGTACTTGTGGCACCTTAGAGACTAACCAATTTATTTGAGCATGAGCTTTCGTGAGCTACAGCTCACTTCATCGGATGCATACTGTGGAAACTGCAGCAGACTTTATATACACACAGAGAATATGAAACAATACCTCCTCCCACCCCACTGTCCTGCTGGTAATAGCTTATCTAAAGTGATCATCAGGTTGGGCCATTTCCAGCACAAATCCAGGTTTTCTCACCCTCCACCCCCCCCCCCCCACACACACACACAAATTTGTGTGCGGTAGGGTGTAGGTAGGATGCTTAGGGCCCCTGGAGTATAGAGCCTGGAGGGGATCCATGTAGGGTGGGGAATGGATGGGTGGGGCTCAGTGCCCCACAGTGGAGTCCCCCTAGCTGCCTAGAGGGGGCGGGCCCGTCTCTATGGCAGCGGACGCCCCGCCCCGCAGCCCATATGTGGGCCCCACGCGGAGGCGGCGCTCATTCCGCGGCCGGGATGCTGCTGCCGCTGGGGCTAGTCGGGCTCCTGCTGCCCGCGGCGCTGGGGGCTGCTCCGGGAGCCGGGGCGCTGCGGGAGCTGGAGGCTGCCCGGGACCCTGCGGCCCTGGAGGCGGCTCGCTTCGCCCTGGAGAGCTACAGCCGGGCAGCGGAGCAGCGCGGGGGGCCGGCCCGGCTGGGGACCATCCGGCGGGCGCAGGCCCAGGTGAGGGGCCGGGTGGAACGCGGTGTGTGTGCCGGGCCAGGGCCGGACCGGGGGTATCCGGCAGCCTGGCTGGGGATGGGGAGAACGGACTGTGGTTCGTGTTTGCAGTCACGCACCGGGTGATGAGAGCCAGGCTGGGGAGGGATCTGGTCTGTGCTGCGGTGCAGGGCTGCAAGCTGCGTCGTAAGGCCACGGCGTCGGCTGCGCAGGGGTCTGGACTGGACAGGGTACAGGGCAGAGTGGCTGGGGTATGAGTTATGTAGACCAGGGCATGGCGGTGGGGTGCGGAGGGAAAGGCTGGGACATATGGGCTGGAGTATTGTGTACAAGGACTAGTGGGGTCTGGCCTGGGTTATATGGACTGCGGTGGGGGTCACAGTGTGTGTTATATGGCTAAAGGCTCTGGCTTGAGTTGTAGACTTGAGGGTATACACATTGATCATACAGGGCAAAGGGGTATATTGGGTTACATGGACGGGGATACCGGGCAAAGGGGCTGGGGGGCATGGCCTGGGATAGAGGATTTGGCAATGACAAAAGGAATAGGGATTGCCAACTCATACCTGGGCCTGGTCTGTGCTAGAAAATTAGGTCATCTTAACTACGTGGGTCAGGGGTGTGACAAATCCATGCCCTAAGTCTCTGTGTAGACCGCGCTAGGTCAACAGAAGAATTCTTCCATCAACCTAGCTACCGCTTCTCGGGGAGGTGGATTACATGCACCAATGGGAGAACCCCATCGGCGTAGGTAGCGTCTACACTGAAGTGCTACAGTGGCGCATCTGCGCTGCTGTCATGTTTTAAATGTAGACAAGCCCTGAGATATATGGATCCTTGGGGTTGTAGTTGATATGCTGGGGTATAGCCTGGGCTATAAGAGGGTATAGCCTGGGGATAAAGACTAGAATATACAGTAAAAGTACTAGCAGTGTCGTTTGAGTTATATGGACTGAGTTAGAGGTTCTAGACAGGTGTACAGGGCAAAAGGACTGTGGGAGATGGAAATTGGGTTATATGGACTAGATAAGGGGCTGTGAACTAGATTATGTGAACTGGGGCCATAAACTGGGTTATGTGGATTGGGAGGAATTACTAATTTGTATGATTACTTATGTGTGTTTCTAAGGGCAGTTACCACCCTGTGAATCTGACTTTCCTTCTTAGTACAGTAACGGGAAGGAAACAATTAGAACCTCTGTAGAGAGAGTAACAGATTTGTGAGCAAAAGGTTTATAAAGAATCATCCTGGCCAGATAAATGTGGTCGTTTCTGTAGCTAAACAAATGGACACATGGAGAATCCTGCCGTAGGTTGGAATGTTACGAAAACACTTGCTGCAGTCTCTCGCAACATCCTAATTGAAAAATTAATTCACTTTGGCTGGGATCAGAGCACAGTCATGTGTGCTAGACATTCTCTAAGAGACTAAAGAGATAAACAGGAAGGTGTTCGAGTTGGGGAGGTGCCTAATTAGTACCATAGGGCATGGCTCTATTTAACTTGATGATTCAGGAGAAATAGCACATGAACGAAATTTGCAGAAGATTCTAATAGTGGGATCAGCTGGAAATACTGTTGAGAACTGAAATAATACAAAACAGTAATTCATGTTAGAAAAATGAGCTTTTTCATGGAGATCTGCAGCTAACATGTGAGAGGAAAATTAGTCTGAAACGCAGATACTCTAATGGAGGGAGAACTAATCTGATGCATCAGGCAGTCTTTTCAGTTGAGATAGGAAAGTATGAATGCCATTGTACAAGACACTGGCAAGGCGTCATCTGGAATGCCTTGTTCCATTTTGTTCTGGTCACTCATGTTCAACAAAGATGAATTCAGATTGGCCTGGTACAGAGAAGGGCTCCCAGGCTGATGATCAGGGGCATGGAAAGCTGATTTTATGAGTGGAGACTGAAAGAGCTTGGATTAGTTTAGCCTGACCAGGCAAAGGCTGAGAGGGGATCTGTTGCTCTGTCTAGGTACAGTGGGGGAAACTCCACAGAGGGAGAAGAGCTATTGAAGCTAAAGGACAATGTTGGCAGAAGAACAAATTGGGATAAACTGGCCAGGAATCAACTGAGGCTGGAAATGAGAAGAAGGTTTGTGCCCATCAGAGGAGGGAGAGTCTGGAATACCTCCCCATAGAAGCAGTGCAGGGCAAACAACCCAGCTAGTTTGAGGATGGTGCTGGATAAGTTTTGGACTGGATTCAATGATGGGGCGTTGCCTGCAATAGTGGGGACTGGACTTGATAACCCAGGAGGTCCCTTCCAGTCCTACGTTTCTATTGACTTAAAAGCTGATAAAAGAAAATACATGTTTCACACACCCTGTTGTGACCCTTTGGAACTACTTGCCTCAGGAAGTCATTGATGTCAAGAACTTAGCAAGATTCAGAAAGGGATTGGCCATTTATATGGATATCAGGAATATTCATTTGTCCTACATAATGATAATTTTGGAAGGGATATAAAACCCTGTGCTTCAGGGCTTAAGCCGATCTCTGTTAGAGACCACGGTGAGAGCTAATGGAGTTAGGGGACGTTATCCCATATCTTCATACTGTGGGGTTCTTGTGCCTTCCTCTGAAGCACGTGGCACTGGCCACTGTCAGAAACAGGATTTTAACTAGACAGACTTTGGGTCTGATCCAGTCTGGTGCAAGTTTCTCTTTCAGGATAGCCCTGGGGAGACACCCCGCACATCCTCTGCAATCTTGCACTCCATTCTAGGTCCCTCAGCGCCAGAGGCATCCCATTCCAGGGCAGAGAGGGCATAGCATCCTGGGGCGGTGCAGGAGCCTGTCTGGCACTAGGTATAACATATGCTTTGCTTCCCATGTCCCCCTGTGACAGTAGCTAGTGTGCAGAGAGCTCCAGCCGCATCCTCTGGGGGCTGGGAGCAGAGTCAGTGTGGAGCCCTCACTCCAGCTCTACCCTGACTGGTGCGGGAGATATTCTCAAGGGTCAGTTTACTTCTATGCCAGGGCTCCTAGGAGCTCCACTAATACAAATACTAACTTTAAGATCCCTTTGCAGTGCCAGGGTGGCGTGACTGAGGAGTCAGACCCGCTAGTCTGGATTTGTAACCAGCAGGAATTAACTAACGTAATTAACAATATGTTGCATCTTTCTACTTAAGAAGTCCTGTAGAAGAGTACGTGATTAACCCTTCCAGATGCTGGTAAATAAGAAGATGCAATAATTTATCCACACCCTTTGCACATTACAAATAAACCAGTTATCGGAACCCAAAATAGGGCAAAGCGTTCTAAGCTTACAGGAGACTTGAGAGGTGAGGAAACCCTATTCGGGTATGTCTGCACTGCAGGGGGAGGTGTAACTCCCAGCCCAGGCAGACGTGCACAGGCTAGCTCTGATTGAGCGAGCGTGCCATAAATAGCAGCGTGCCAGGGGGCACAGGCTGTGGTTTGGGCTAGCCGCCCAAATCCAATCCTGTTGGAGATCCTAGGTATGTACTCAAGCGGTGGCTTGGACTAGCAACTTGGGTACGTTCCTAGGATCTCAGATGGGATTGCGCTCTGGTGGCTAGCCACTTTTAGCATGCTAGGGCACGTACACCTACCCCCACTGGGAATTACACCTCCCAGCTGCAGTGTTGACACACCCTTAGAACTTGCTAATGGACTGTCATGTGCCCCTGTCAGTCGCAGCTAGGCCAGTAAAGGACTATCTTCTGGAGATAACAGTTACCATCTTTACATCCCTACTGTGTTGGTTTCCATTCCATTTTACTTACGCCTTTGCGTTACTGCTGGGAACAATGAGGAACAGAGGAGGCAGTTTCACTCTTGTTTCTAGTCAATTTCACTTTTCAAGGTTGGCTAGCATATTGGAGGTCTGTCTAAAAATTACATTCCAATTCAACCACACGTTATTGGGCTGGATGCAGGAATCGCTGGGTGAAATTCTCTGTCCTGTGTCAGGCTCCTGCCTGATCATAGTGATCCCCTCCTGGCTTAAAATCTGCAAATTTAGCACAGGTCTACCCTCAAACTTCAGACCAGTTCTGGGAGATCTTTAGTTTTATAAAGAACTGCTTCTGGTAGATTACTTTCTGATTGCATGTTACCTCTGTATGTAGCATTGATGAGACCAGTACGGGAGTAATTTGTCCAACTGTGGGGGCCACATTTTAGAAAGAATGTTGAAAAATTGAGAGGATGTAGAGAAGAGGGCTGGGAAAAAAATGCCTGACAGTGAGAAACTTAAAGAGTGCTTCTCAAAATGATCAAAAGGTGACTTGATCCTGGTGTGAAAGTACCTTCACAGGGAGAAAATCCTGGGTACTAAAGGGCTCTTTAGTGGAGAAAGGCAGAACAAAAACCAGTGGCTGGAAGTTAAAACCAGACACATAGCAATTAAAAATAAGATGCAAATTTTTACCAATTAGGGATTAACCCTCGGAACAAACTCTCAAGGGAAGTGGTGGATTCCCCATCTCTTGATGCCTGAGAGTCCAGACCTGACTGCCTTTCTGGAAGGTGCTTTAGCTGAACACGAGTTATTGGGCTTAACACAGGGGTGACTGTGTGATATTCTCTGAATTGTGCTATACAGGAGTTCAGAGTAGATGATCTAATGGTCCCGGTCTGGCTTTGCAAAATGATGAAAATGCTTTATATTCACCTGTATAATAAATAAGCTATGAAATCTGAACCCAAGTTTGTCCCAACAAGATCCCTGTAGCATCCCTTGCTGTAGAGATGAGCCAGAACTTGGCTGTAATGAATATAGAGGGGAATCTTTATCAAGGCTGCCGGACACAGGCAAACCCTGGTGTTCTGTCTTTCACCAGTTCCCCATTTATTGTCACTGCATGCTAAGTTCTAGGCTGGGGTCTGCAGTAATGGAGCAGATGGTGCCATGCTCTGCCTACCTGAGAACTGTGTTCTGCTTGCAGGTGGTGAATGGGATCAAGTACTATCTGGATGTGACCCTGCTGAAGTCACCATGCAGCCACTATGGATTCACAAACCAGGATGCCGCCATCTGTGAAAATTCAGTGGAGCCGGAGCAAATAGTAAGGACCAGGTGCTGGGTTGTGGTTTTGTTTTGGGTCTGTCACAGCTCCACCCGCTTGGCGCTACACCCCCAGCTTCGGCACAGCCTCTTGGAGGAACCACCTCAGTGTACCAGATCCCCAACGGGGGTGTGTGTGTCTCACCGTCTCCAGCACTCCTGCTTCCTGCTGTAATCTCTCTTCAGTGAGTCCGGCTGAGAGAGACTCCTGGTAGAGACTCGTTAATATACCTCGCCCAGCCTTTGCAGCGACACTCAAACAGTGTTGTCAAAACAGTCGGGTTTATTAGTCAGCTGGAACACCACGTAGGTCGTCCTTAGGTTAGCACAGAGAAATGAAGGTCAAAGACTAGTCCCGATCCATTCTGGCCAGCACAGAGCCCAGCAAGCTGTAGCGAACTCCAGGTTCAGGCTGTCTCTCTCTCTCTCTCTCTGTCTGATGTCCTTGATTAGCTCCAAGGTGAGAGCCCAGACTCCATCCAGAAGCCAGTTCCTATCCCCCCACCTTCCCAGTCCTTTGTTCTGGAGCTGGGGTGATCTTGCTCAGTTTCCCTGCTGAGAGGTGAGGAAATCCATCTCCCTCTGGGTCATTGGTTATTAGGTGTCAGTGTCCTGGTGACTGGATTTGCCACTGGCTTCTCGGATTCTCAGTTGATATGGGGTCATCCTCGGCCAGTCCTTTTTAATGACCCATTCAGGCTTAGACAGACAGTCCTTCCCTCCCCCCCCCCCCCCCGGCAGCCATACAAAATGTAGAGGAAACTGAGGCACACATAGGGGCCATAAATATATTGCAGAAAAATCCTGTTTCATCACAAGGTCCACTTAATCAGATCCACCCACTCTTAATAGGTCAATTAAACTGGTGTGACTCTAATGTCACATCACTGACCTCTGTGGGATTACGGCCAGATTCTGATCTCTGTGCACCAGGATAAGTGTGTATTCAGCTCGCTGATTTTCATGGGGTGATTGTGGATTTACACTGATATCACAGGTTTCAGAGTAGCAGCCGTGTTAGTCTGTATTCGCAAAAAGAAAAGGAGTGCTTGTGGCACCTTAGAGACTAACCAATTTATTTGAGCATAAGCTTTCGTGAGCTACAGCTCACTTCATCGGATGCATCACGAAAGCTTATGCTCAAATAAATTGGTTAGTCTCTAAGGTGCCACAAGTACTCCTGTTCTTTTTACTGATATCACAGAGAGCAGAATCTGGGCAGAGATATTATGAATCACTGCCTTTCTCCTTCCCCCAGTAACTCCAGGAGGGTCACATCTCCTACTGGGTAGGAGCCCAAAGGATACACTTAATTTGCATTAAATGGAACAGGTATGATGGTACGGCTAATGGTACGGCAGCTCCCAGCATACCTTGCTTCATCTTGATTCAAGTGGAGGGCACTTATTGTTGAGCATGGCATCCTGGGATCTGTAGTCTTTGAGGCTCTGTTTTAAGAGAAGGCAGACAGTTACGATCCCAGTGAGTGGACACATTGGGAGGTCTCATCTGGGATGTGGGGTGGTGTTTAGGGATTGGACTTTTCCGATTCCTGATGGGGATTCTAGAAAGGGATGTTGTTCCCAAAGCATGATGGGGGCAGAACTCTGTGGGTGCCACCCCCCCTCCCCCACCACCTATGTCCTGTGCACATGCCACTCTTACAGGCAAACACATTCCTTCGGGTCAGAGTGGGAGAACTGGAGAAACTGGGGGGGGGGCTTTGTAGCAGTGGCAGGATAGAGCTAGATCTTCCTATTTCAAAAGCAGCATCACTACTGCTTGATCTCCAGGAGAATTGCTCCTGGTGTTTACAGAAGGGGGGCTAAGACACACAGCTGATTGTCTTCTACTGGTTGAAATCAGAAGCAAGGGCACATGTGTATGTACATGCAAACCAGCGCCAGTTTCTTCAAGTATTAAAATGGGGTGTCAAAAGCAGGCAGTGGAGCTGAGGCTCTGGGAGATGGCTCTGAAACTAAACAGGGACGTTACTAACACAGAACCCAGGAGTCCGGTTACATTGTAAGCAACCTGCTGGTCTGAGTTTGTCCTGTGTCAGACTCTCCAGTCATTGTCCCATGAGCCAGGCCTCTGTCTGCTGAATCCTCTCATTCGTTGTCTTGTGACCTGGCATTAACCCAAACACGCTGTAACTAGAGGATCTTTTCATAGCTTTCATTAGTGGAGGATCAGCTGAGTAACTCGGGTGCAGCCTGTTGGCTGGAAGGAGAGGGCTGTGGAGTGAGAAGTGATTCTGCTCTTCTCTGGCATCCTTTCAGCTGAGAGTCTCAGAGCATTTTACCAATAAGTTAAGACACATGCACCCCATCCAAGAGTTAGGGAAACACTGGCCCCATTTTACAGAGTACAGCTGAGGGGCTTCCCCAGCATCACATGTTAGGAGCAGAAGTAAGAGTAGAACCCAGGAGTCCTGACTCTCCTGGCCCTTCTGTTCTAACCCAACAGACCCCACCGTCCTCCCAGAGTCAGGAACAGAATCCACCACCACCATCACCATTCCCTCCCAGTCCACTCATCACTGCTGCCTCCGGGCAGGTTTCTGTACTGTTCATTTATGAAATTCTGAGGCAAGGCCTGTTTTTCTCTCTGTCTCCTGGAAGTCTTGTCACTTTGAGGTCTGGAGTCAGCCATGGATGAACAGGAAGAGGCTGGTGAAGCAGGAATGTCGTCCAGCTGGTATGGCGGGTCTGCATGGGTGTCATCCCTTTAAAGGATCCTGACTAGAATGTAAACAAGAGCATTAAGTCTGGAATCAAAGCCACACCCCTCCACCACCTGCACATGGCCACTTGCCGTGTATTTCCGGTGTGGAAGGAGCTGGTTATGAAAGCTTTAATCCACTTCTGGCCATTAAAGAGTCCTTTGGCACTTTCCCAAATAGCTGGCTGTTAATCCAGTCTCCTGGCCAGACTCCAGCTCGGGTGCTTCCACTCTGTTGACCTAAATTCCCCCCTTGTGGATTCCATCAGCTGTCCTGTCCTCCCCACCTCACCTGCTCCGTAGCATTGCTGTGCACTATTGCAGAGCTGCCTTATCTCATCCCAGAAGTGGCTGCATATCAGCGATCCCTGCATTGGTGAGGCCACTCCTGAGACACTGCATCCAGATTGGCTGACGAACTGTGAAAAAGATGGTGACAGCTTTGGAAAGGGTTCAGAGAAGAGCCACAATATTCATCCGTTCTAAGGCCGGAAGGAACCACTGTGAGCATCTAGTCTGACCTCCTGCATAACACAGGCCATAGGCCAGCCCTGAATTAATTCCTGGCTGAACTAGAGCAGAGCTTTTAGAATAACATCCCATCTTGATTTAAACATTCCTAGTGGTGGAGGATCTACCCCAGCCCTTGGTCTGTTGTTCTGATGACTAATTCCCCTCATGGGTAAAAATGTGATTCCCATTTCCAGTCTGAATTTGTCCAGCTTCTGGCTTCAGTGATTCCAGTTCTGGAAAACCTGCCTGGAGTTAGAGACTAAGGCCTGCTGTAGACTCCCGTTTTGTCCTGGTATAGCTGTGCCAGTTAGTGGTTCTGTGTAACATAGACAATGTTTCACTAACCTAGTGATATCTACCCAGCCCTAGTGTGGATGCCGTTTCCTGGGGTAAAGGAGCTTTTACCAGAATAGCTTATTCCCCTTCCTGTACTGGAATAGCTGTACTGACATAAGCATATCTATCCCAGTATAACTGCATGCACATGGAGAGGGTTGTACCACATTAACTAGAGTGGTATAGTTAAAGCAATACAAGTTTTGTGCATAGACTGAGCTTCTTAGAGCCTTAAAGAGGAAGATGTGAGTTGAACTCAAGCTGTAAGTGTGTCCCCAGGGAGGAGAGTTTGGAGAGCAGAGGGCTCATCAGTTCAGCAGAGAGAGGCAGATTGAGACCCAAAGGCTGAGAACTGAAGCTGGACAAGTTCAGGCTAGCAACGAGGTACATATTTTTAACAGGGTGGGGTTTAACTGTTGGAACAACTGTCCAAGTGATGAAGAATCCAACCTGTCCCTTCGAGTTTTTAGGGATTGGGTGCATCTCTAAATCTATGCTCTAGCTCAGCCACCAGATATGGGCTCCAGGCAGGAAGGACTATCGGAGGTCCTCTGGCCTAGGCTATGCAGGAGGTCAGAGTGGATGACCACAGTGGTCCCATCTGGCCTTCCAATCTGGGAATCTAGAACAGTGAATGTGCCCTCCAGTGGCTACCAACAGGATAAGGGACCTGCTACTGCTGCTAGCCAAGGGAGATCTCCTTTAGCACAAGCAGTAGAGGCTGTTGGGCAGGGGTGGCCAACCTGAGCCTGAGAAGGAGCCAGACTTTACCAATGTACATTGCCAAAGAGCCACAGTAATATGTCAGCAGCCCCGCATCGGCTGCTCCGCTCCCAGCGCCTCTCGCCCACCGGCTGCCCTGCCGATCAGCGCCTCCCCCTCCCTCCCTCCCCACACCTCCCAATCAGCTGTTCTGTGGCATGCGGGAGGCTCTGGGGGGGAGGGGGAAGGAGCAAGTGCATGGCAGGCCCAGGGGAGGGGGCGGAAAGGGGTGGAGTGGGGGCAGGGCCTGTGGCAGAGCCAGGGGTTGAGCAGTGAGCACCCCCCCGGCACATTGGAAAATTGGCGTCTGTAGCTCCAGCCCCGGAGTTGATGCCTAGACAAGGAGCCGCATATTAACTTCTGAAGAGCCGCACGTGGCTCCGGAGTCCCAGGTTGGCCACCCCTGCTGTTGGGCGTGAAGAAGATGGGCACTGGCCCTCATTCTCCCAAGGCATGAGATCTATACACTAACTGTGTCGGGGCTACCTGCAACGTTTGCTACTGCCTCCTCTTGTGTTTAGAGCCATCAGAGAAGGTCCAAAGTGCAGCCCCCCTGGAGCCAGAGGAGCCGGCTCATGCAAAGACACCAGAAGAGCCAGTTCGCTTGGAGGCCCTTTCCCAGGTGGGTGGCTGGTTGCCTCACTCCTCCTCCTCTCTAGCCCAGTTTGTCCTGTCCCTTGAGGGGCCCCAGTCTCTGTTCTAGTGATGGTAACTCATGTGGGGAGAGTGTGTTGGGCTGGAACTAGGACACATGAGGCCTCTTGCTCCCAGGGTAGGGCAGGGGGTGTGGCCTGGATTAGGGGGGTATGTCACCTGGGGCGGGGGTACTCCTCTGGGTTTCATTTCTCCAGTCCCCTCCCGTGATATGCTGCTTCATACCTTCCCCCATGCCACTGCCCTGGCCTCTGGCTCCACCCCTTTGCCACCCTGCCCCTATGCTGTGCCTCAGCATGGCACCTCCTCTGGTTACCAGCCCTAAGGCTGACCTCCTGCAATGCTCCAGAGACAGACCTGCTGCAGGAGGAGACTGAGAATGGGTCTATAGCACCCCCTACAGACAGGCACTCACCTGGCCTTGGCAGATGGCACATCTTCCAGCATCAGCCTCTCAGATACCACCTCCAGCCTTCCAGGTCTCTAAGTCGCTTGCTTCTGTGTCCCTAGAATGCATCCGTCCAGCTGATCTCACTGTTCAAAGACTTCCTGACCACCTACAAGAAGAGCTACAAGGATGAAAGAGGTGAGCCCCAGGTGCTGGCATATCTCTTGGGCCCCCATCCCACCACCTTTCCAGAATCCTGCGAGCCAGCTCCCATCACCCTTTCAGCTCTTCCCACCTTAGAATCCTTTGCACTGGCTCCTGCAACACGGCAGGGAGCCCCCTCTATCTTGGACACACTCCCTCTCTCACAATGACTCTGACTCCCTGGATCTGTTGCCCTGTTTAGAAACCGAGAGGCGTTTGCAGATCTTTGCGGAGAACCTGGAAAAGGCTCAGACGATCCAGGAGCTGGACCAGGGCACGGCCGAGTACGGAGTCACCAAGTTCAGCGACCTGACGGGTGAGAGGGGTGATGGCTTTGCACTCAGTATGCCCATGGAGCCCTGGCAGCACACCCTACAGGAAAGCGCTAGGAGCTCCCCGCTCTCTACGCCTGGGGCCAGGGCTGGAGTAGCTGGGAGCTCTCCACACAGCCAGCGCTCCTGCCCCACTCTCTGCAGTGCCCCCTGTCAGGGGAGATCATAGGCAAGTACCCTGGGCTTCCTGAGTCCTGGGCGTTTCTCCAGAGCTGCCCTCTGTCTCATTTCAGAGGAGGAATTTCGCTCCCTGTACCTGAATCCGCTGCTGGCTAAACTCCCGGCCCGGCCCATGAAACCGGCTGCCATCCCCAGCGACCCGCCTCCTGCCGAATGGGACTGGCGGGAGCGTGGGGCCGTCACTGACGTCAAGGACCAGGTGGGTTTCCATGGCTACATCAATCCGCCACCCTGACAGCCGCAGCTGCAGAGCTTAGGCCAACATAATCTGCTGTGGCACTCTGTCTCCCGCTAGTGGCTAGACCAGGTATAGCGGCTGAGGCGGCTAATGCCTCTGAGCTAATGTAACTGGTTTAGAACAAGCTGTCAAGGCTCAGGGAGGTAGATACAGAGGTTGCAGGTTTGATCCCTGCGTGCGACCCTTCCAGGGATGTCATGTCACCAGTGCTAATATAGCTGTCTCTGTCTCATCCCAAAGAGCACTGCTGCGAGAGGCCAGGCTCTGTGGATGAGGGGAAAGCGGTGGACGGGTTGTTCCTTGACTTTAGCAAAGCTTTTGACACAGTTTCCCACAGTATTCTTGCCAGCAAGTTAAAGAAGTATGGGCTGGATGAATGGACTATAAGGTGGATAGAAAGTTGGCAAGATTGTCGGGCTCAATGGATAGCGATCAATGGCGCCATGTCTAGTCGGCAGCCGGTATCAGTGGACTGCCCCAAGGGTCGGTCCTGGGGCCGGTTTTGTGCAATATCTTCATTAATGACCTGGAGGACGGCGTGGATTGCACCCTCAGCAAGTTTGCAGATGACACTAAACTGGGAGGAGAGGTAGATACGCTGGAGAGTAGGGATCGGATACAGAGGGCCCTAGACAAATTAGAGGATTGGGCCAAAAGAAATCTGATGAGGTTCAACAAGGACAAGTGCAGAGTCCTGCACTTAGAACGGAAGAACCCAATGCACCGCTACAGACTAGGGACCAAATGGCTCGGCAGCAGTTCTGCAGAAAAGCACCTAGGGGTTACAGTGGACGAGAAGCTGGACATGAGTCAACAGTGTGCCCTTGTCGCCAAGAAGGCCAATGGCATTTTGGGAAGTATACGTAGGGGCATTGCCAGCAGATCGAGAGACGTGATCTTTCCCCTGTATTTGACATTGCTGAGGCCTCATCTGGAGTAGTGTGTCCAGTTTTGGGCCCCACACTACAAGAAGGATGTGGAAAAATTGGAAAGAGTCCAGTGGAAGGCAACAAAAATGATTAGGGGACTGGAACACATGACTTATGAGGAGAGGCTGGGGGAACTGGGATTGTTTAGTCTGCGGAAGAGAAGAATGAGGGGGGATTTGATAGCTGCTTTCAACTACCTGAAAGGGGGTTCCAAAGAGGATGGCTCTAGACTGTTCTCAGTGGTAGCTGATGACAGAACAAGGAGTAATGGTCTCAAGTTGCAGTGGGGGAGGTTTAGGTTGGATATTAGGAAAAACTTTTTCACTAGGAGGGTGGTGAAACACTGGAATGCGTTACCTAGGGAGGTGGTGGAATCTCCTTCCTTAGAGGTTTTTAAGGTCAGGCTTGACAAAGCCCTGGCTGGGATGATTTAGTTGGGGATTGGTCCTGCTTTGAGCAGGGGGTTGGACTAGATGACCTCCTGAGGTCCCTTCCAACCCTTCTATTCTATGATTCTATGACTGGAGTAGCTGGGGGTTTCCCTGCAGTCAGCATTCCCGCACCATTTCCTGATGGGGTTTGGGAGGGTCTGAGGGTTTGTGACATTGTCGTGTCACTCGTGGGCCATCATCTGTCTGGCCTTGTGTTTCCAGGGTATGTGCGGCTCCTGCTGGGCTTTCTCTGTCACCGGCAACGTGGAAGGACAGTGGTTCCTGCGCCGGGGGTCTCTCGTCTCACTCTCGGAGCAGGGTATGTGGCTGGCACTTGTGGTGTAGGAGCCAGAGCTGGACTGTGACACATATAAGGGGGATCCCTTATCCAGGGCCCTGTGGCTCTCCCAGCCTGCACTGCCCAGTCTTGCCACATGGGGAGCTCCCAGAGTCCTGGGCTGTTTAGCCAGGAGAGGGAGCGCATCGCATGGCTGGTGCCCCAGAGAGCCTGACCAATTCCCAGGCTTTCTGGACCTAGCTGGTTTCCCGGAGATGATGGCTCTTCGGAAATTCCTGTTAAGAGTCGATCCTTGCACCAGAGTGAAGAACCCAAACTTGCTTTGAGGAGAAGGGGGGGTTGGTTGCTGGGTTCCTCCTCCCACTCCTTATTGGGGGTGGGGATTAGGAGGTGGGAGCTAATCCCCCTTCAGTGCCCTGATCTCCCCAGAGGTGTTTGCAGCTTCCTCTGTGATTTCAGCACTGTCAGCAAACCTGACCAGGTCTGGGTTGGTGGTAGAGCCAGGCAGCCCCAGTCAAAAGCGGGGGACCCTGTCGTGTTGAGCTCTACACAAGACCCTGACTGAGGTCGCTCCGTGCCCCCGGTGCTGGACAGACACACAGTGAGACAGTCGCTGCCCTGCAGAGCTTCCATTCTAACTAGACCAGGGTGAGGGCGAAAATGTGCACAGAGGGGGGAAGGAGCTTGCCGCAGGTCAGTGGCAGGGCTGGGAATAGAACCCAGGTGTCCTGACACCCTAGTCCAGTGGCCCACGCTACCTGCTGAACACCTGTGGCGGAAAGAGATGTGGAGGAGCCAACAGGGGGTGGGGACAGCTTTGCGGCCAGCAAAGCTTTGGGAGACCCTAACAGAGCCTCGGGAGTGGCTCCAGCTGGCCACGAGCATCCCAGCTGCGAGGCTGTTCCCTGGGGGGATGGGAGCCTGAGAGCCTCGGGTCGGTAAGAGGCCGGTCTCTCTCCCTGCAGAGCTGGTGGACTGCGATGGACTGGACCATGCCTGCGGAGGGGGACTGCCTTCCAATGCGTATGAGGCCATTGAGCGGCTAGGTGAGTTCAGGACCATCCAGGCCCAATGCAGGGAGGTCAAGGCCTCATCCTGACTGGGGCAAATAGGAGAAGCTCAAGGGTTGGGCGGTTAAGGAAGATGAGCAGTTGTTACTAGCTGAGGTAAAATAGAATAGCAGGGTTGGAACTGAGGGGCATTGGCCGGGCTGTATGCGGGGGAAACCTGGGGCTGCGGTAGCAGGGGGCTGCGGGTCGGGATTGAGGGGCATTGGCTGGGCTGTGGGTGGGGGTGATGGGGAGCCTAGGGCTGGGGTTGGAAGGGGCTGCGGGTCGGGATTGAGGGGCATCACAGAGCTTTTCCAGATCCCTGTAGTCTTGTACAAGCCCCAGGCGAGTTCCCTGCGGCAGGATCTGTCTCTTAGCCCCTGGCATTATTAACCCTCCCTTCCCGGGGATTGCTCCTTCCAGGTGGCCTGGAGACAGAGGGTGACTATAGCTACGAGGGCCACAAGCAGAGCTGCAGCTTCTCTGCCACCAAGGTGGCTGTCTACATCAACAGCTCTGTGGAGATCTCCCGCGACGAGACTGGTGAGTCTGGGTTCCTCCTACTGCCTCTGCTCTGCCTCCTAACTCCAGTCACTGGGGCCTGGTATGGGGAGGGAGGGAGACTCGGAGCTGCCTGTGGAAAAGACCTGCCCTTCCACACAGCTTTGTGTCTTAGGGTAGATTGGGACCCTGTGTTGTTTCAGGAGCTATCCAGAACTCCCAGGCGAGATCTTCCCCCACGTCATGCCAGGCGCTGCACAGACAGTCCCTGCCCTAAAGAGTGTGGGAGGGGAAAGGCAGGCACAGAGCAGGGAAGGGCGTTGTCCAGAGTCACGCAGCCTGCGTGTGCCAGAGGCCCAGAGAGACCTAGCTGCAAGGAGCACAGGGAACCTCATGAGCCATGTGAGGCCGAGACCCCTTGAAGGCTGTTGATGCCTGGCGGATTGTGCCTCTCTGCCCCCTTCCCAGTCAGCTCTGCGATAGACCCAGCGCCCCTGCCACAGCCCAAACTCACCTGTCCTGTCTGTTCCAGAGATCGCGGCGTGGCTGGCGAAGAATGGACCCATCTCCATTGCACTCAATGCTTTCGCTATGCAGGTGAGCAGATGCTTCGGGGCAGAGCCACCTGCTCCCACATCCTTATAGACTGGGTGGGATTGCAGTGGAGTTCAGACTCGCTGGTTTGTTACAGCCTGGCGCAGGCAGGCGGGGATGCAGCATGTGCCTCCGATAAAGAGCTGTGTGAAGGCCCTGAGGCTGCTGACATGTCCTACCCTGGCCCTGGGGCTCTCAGAATGAGGTGTTAAAACCTGGGACCTGAGTTCTAGCTGAAGTCAGGTGGTATTGGATCCAGTGGGATGCCAGAGAGTGAGCATTCAGCTGGGGGGGGCTCTCCCTTTGCAGTCAGTACTGCCCCAATACCTGGGCTTGGCACTAGGTGGTGCTGTTATACAGGGCAAGGACTCAGTAAGGGGCACTTCGCATCCCAGAGGTGGTCAGCACTGGACAAGGGATCCCTGTATTACAAAGCCCTGTGCTCCACCCTAAGGGCAGCTACATCTCGGTGGCATTGTAGGGATCTGTGCAGTTAGCTCGCTAATGTTATGTTCCTCATCTCCCTCCCCTTCAGTTCTACAGGAGGGGGGTCTCCCACCCCTTCAGGCTCCTTTGCAACCCATGGATGATTGACCACGCGGTGCTGCTGGTGGGGTATGGGACACGTAAGTGACGCTAGTCTGGAATCCACAGGAGGGCCCCCCACGCCTCGGGGAACGTCGATTCCCTAGGCTCCCTTAAACCTAATGAGCCACCTTGAGCACCATCCTGTTTCCCTCCAGGACTGGCCTTGCTGGCCCTTCCTCCGTACTGTCCAGCCTAGAGCAGGTAGTTCTCATTGCCACCAGCATGTGTCACTGTTGAGCCAAGTCCCTGCTGCTCCCAGCTCTCTCTCATGGATTTGTACTGACCAGAGGCACAGAGATGGGAGGTGGCTAGCTCAAAGGCATAGTGAGTCTGGCAGAATCAGAGAGAAACCCTGGTGTCCTGGCGCCCAGCTCTGCTCTAACCACTAGACCCTACTCCCCTCCCAGAGGTGGGGATAGAACCCAAGAGTCTGGGTACTACTAAGACCAGTTTCTATAATGTACAGAATCCCCCTTGCTATAAAAGTGGAAGCTGACAGCAGGGGCTCAGGCAGTGCTGGCTAATGCTGCAACACCCCCTAGCAGCCTGGGCTCTGCCCCAGCCATGTATCAGGAACTGTCCAGCCCCCTCTCCTCAAGCTTAGCCTTCATGATGGACCTTTCTACCTTCCAGGTGACCGCACCCCCTTCTGGGCCATCAAAAACAGCTGGGGCAAGGACTGGGGCGAGCAGGTGAGTCCAGTAAGAAGCAGCTGGTGCCCATGCTGTGGGTGTGGGCTGGGATAGAGACTGCTTGGGCCACCTGGCTTTGTTCCTCTACTCCCAATCCATCTCCCCTACACTGGCTGCCTGGCTTTCCCATCCTTCCCCCAGCCCCATCTCCAGGGAGGGGAGGCTAGGCATCCTCCCAGGAGCAGCTCATGCTGCCCTCCCTCTGTTTTCTCCCACGTTTCCAGCCTGGCCTAGTTCCCCAGTATCATCTCTGGCAGCAGAGAGTCAGGGCTGGGCAGCGGTGGATAGAAAAAGGGATCTTCCTCAGGGCTGCTGGACACAGACCAGTCCTTGTGGTTCTCCTGGGATTCCCAGCCTGCACCTCCCAGTCTTGCCACAGAGAGGTGCACAAAGCTAAGCCACAATGAGCAGGTGCTGGGTGAATTAGGCCTGGAGTAGTGGCTTGCTGGCTGATGGGAACGCACCAACCCCTCTTTTTTTCCTTTTCCAGGGCTACTACTACCTGTACCGGGGCAGCAGAGCCTGCGGGATGAACACCATGTGCAGCTCAGCTGTGGTGGACTAGACACTGCAGGACCTCCCCCACCCCACCTCCCTGTGAATCCCCTCCTCTGTGTCTCACTACCCTGCCCCCAGTCACTGCCCCAGCCCCCCGGCACCAGCCGAGCTAGGGCCTGCTAGCTTCCCTAGAGCATAGGAGAGGGACTTGAGAAGGGGGAAGGGCCCTGGCTAAGCTGGGGGAGATGCCACAGTGTGGAAACGCAAAGGGGCCGGGGAGAGACTTGACTTGGGGCTGGCTGATCAGCAGGATGGGGGAGGCTGTGCCATGCCACCAGGGGGCGCTCATGCATGCATCTTGAGCCCAGAAGGGAGCCCTCTGCCCTGGAGAATGCCACCCAGAAAGAGCTGGGCTAGGATTTCCACTGCAGAATTTGTCCTTATGGGCCATCTCCCAGGGCTGCATCTTTGCAAGCTCTCCCACTGCCAGCTGAGGTGAGTGGGACAGACTTTGTGGAGTGAAAGGCCACCTAGAGTGGGCTGCTGGTGGCACTGGAGCTGCTGCCCAATCTATGCTACAGTCCCTTGGGCCTCCTCCAGCCATGGGTTTGTGCAGTATCCTGGAACGGTGTGCCACTCATCTCGTGTTCCTCCCCCTGCCCCACTGAGCTGGAACCAGGGGTCTTGGCTCCCAACACGAGGACTGCTTTTCAACCCACGCTCTGGAGGCAGCTCGCTCTCTCCTGGCAGAGAAATGTTCCCCACCTGGTTTGCTTTCATTGGTGGATTCAACACAGTCCCTGCAAGCTGTGCCTGTTCCCATCTGGGGGGGAGGCACTCTGAAAAGCTGGAAACCCTAATTTCCATATGCCATCCCTGGCCCTAATTCTGATACACTGCCCCTGGCTGGAGCTGCTGCTTCTCTCTGGAACAGGAGCTGGGCCTGCTGGTTTCCATTTTTCTAGCCTGCCTGGCTGGGTCTATTACAGGGAAACACTAAGGATTATGCTAAAGATGGGGCATTAAGCCCATGAAACTGACCAGTCTCTAGATTCTGCACCCCTCCCTGCCAAAACCATTTTTGCTCCTGTCTCATGTCTTGGGGCAGGGGTTTCAAAAGCTTCAATTTTGGGGGTGGGACCTTGAAGGAGCCTGGGTTTACAAAGGACAGGCCCTTGAGTCACACTCCCACCCAGCTGTGGCTTTTGGAAAACATTAATTGCGGTGCCCCAAATTCTCCTGGCTCTCAGAGAAATGGAGGCTGCTTTGCAGGAGGGTAGACTAGACTGCAGGATACAGCCAGGTTCGGCCCGAGACCAAGCCTGCCCCTAAATCCAGCCCTGGGTACAGCCAGCTACTGTTTAGCTGAGATTTCCTCCCCTGGCTCTCCTTTCACTGCCAGGTGGGCAGTCCTCCCTCTGGGCTCCCCTTACAGGGCAGAGCGGAAGAAAAGCTCCCTTAAATTCCAGAGCTCAGTCCTGGCACCAGCTTGCATGTGAGCAGGGCTGGTCAGCCAGGAAATCTCTCTTGGAGGCAGCAGTTCTCTGGGAGGGTGGGGGAAGGGAGCTTGGAGCACTGCATGCTGGGAGTTATAGTCCACCCATTCACACACGTGCTGTATTTTTCAGGTTTCAGAGTAGCAGCCGTGTTAGTCTGTATCCGCAGAAAGAACAGGAGGACTTGGGGCACCTTTTTCAGCCACTCTGGTGTTGTAATTTGGCTCTGAGCGAAGAGAATCCAGCTTTCCTTTAATGCCAGACTGGCTTTCCCAGGCTCCCAGACAGGAGCGTTAATATCCTGCCTGGAGCTGGTCAGAAAATATTTGATTTTTTTCAGTGGAAAGGTGTGATTTTTAAATTTTTTTTCAAGAACGCAAAAAAAAAAATTGATTCTGAAAAGCTGCCAAGCTGGGATCCTTGCATCTCCCATGATGCATTGTAGTCTCCCCTCTTGCTGGCTAACCCCAGTGTCTCATGGGAGTTGTAGTTTAGGTGCTTCTTGTGCCCATTCTCCTCTGCAGGCTGGGATCCTTACTCAGGCTAACCTCCCATGTTACACTGTGCTCTCCCCTTTTGGGGAGGCAAAGGTGGTGTGTCATGGGAGATGTAGTCTGGGGAGCACAGTCCGTAAGGGGGAATAGGGACACGAAGCGTCTGAACTGCACTCCACTGTGGCGTTGTGGTAGCCTGTGGGAACTGGAATATTTAGTTGCCAAACTATTTTGATTGCCGGGTGTTTGGTTTTTTTGACGCAGAAACAAAAACAATCTAGATTTTTTTTTCCACCAAAACCAGATCGTTTTCACGAAATATTCCTTTCGGTGAAAACGTAATTTCCTTCAGGAAAACCAGGTGGGTCAGACAATTTTTGCCCAACCTATATGCTGCCTCCACTGCAGCCTTGTCCCTTCCCACGCAGGGGGTGGGCAGGTGCAGTCTACACTAGGCCTCCTGGCTTCTGCTGCCAGCTCTGCTGCTGCCAATCTGCGTGGTCTGTGGGCAAGTCCCTTCTCCTTATCTGTACAGCAAACATGGGCTATACCCCCTCCCCCTCCCCGGGGTGCAAATTCATATAGGAAGCCCTTTGTTCAGGCAAAGTGTTATTGTCAGAGTAGGTGATCAAAGTTGGGGAAGATGGGGGGGGGAAGCTCTGTGGCTCCCTATATCTCCTGCCCCACGCCCCAAGCACTGGTGTAAGTCCACAGTAGGATATGGTCGAGTAGGCCTAGCTGTGATCTCGCTGCTAAAACCGTTCCATTACATTTGATTCTTTCCGTTTCGCAGAGCCGCACGTAGCACAGGTTGGGGGCTCTGAATGAACGCTGCTAGAGGCTCGCTGCAGTATTTCCCCTCCGGGGGCTCCATGGTCAAACGCACTTTGCAAGTGGATTTGCACAAGGCAAGGGGGCAGTAGCCTTTTGTGATTCTGCTTTATGCCTGCCCGGGAAGGATCTAGTCCTCCCAGTGTGTTACTGAGTGACTGGGATTTTAGTGCCATATGTTACATCATCACCAGCCCAGATCTCTCCTAAGCAATAAAGAAAAGCCTGCAGGTTGTTGGGTTTTTTCCCCCTCCATTCTGGAAACTCAGGACTGAATTAGCTGATCGGGGTTCTGGCTCACGGACTGAAATGGCACAGAAAGGGGGCTAGAGTTCTGATCCTTTGTGGGACTGAACCCCTGCTTAAAAGAACGGGCACTTGTCCCAGATAGACCACAGCAAGGAAGCTGCATGTACAGGTAGGACAAAAGTTCAGCGCACCATGGCCTACCTCCCAGACGTGGGAGGAACAACGGGCTGCGGTTTGTTAAGCACTTTGCTTTTGGAGGATGCTGTTACAAGCAGAGGAGCAAGGAGGGGGTGTGTGAGAGGCTTTTTGGTGGCAAAGTTGGATTTTCCCCCTTGTCGTTTGCATGGAGAAAAATTCTGCTGGTTTTGTAACAGAAAAATGCGAAGGGCTGTTCTCTGTGCCCGATCTGTGCACCTGGAGGAGAGGGAGGGCAGGCTGGGCCTGCCACAGAGCAGTTGTAGCAGGAGCTCAGAGCAATGCTGTAGGGTTTGATGTTCCTTGATCTGCGTTGTACACTAATAATAAATGATGAACCCAGTGCCTGAGCTGCATTTTCTGTCTGGGGCCGCAGGACGCCCTCCCCCCCAAAACAGTAAAGTTGCAAAGCAGCACCCCTAAGTGGACTTACCATGGGCAAGGTGGAAGTGAAGTGAAATTGAGGGCACCTCCCTCCCTTAGACCACTATGATCACCCAGTCTGACCCTAGGCCTGCCCTGAAGTGATTCCTGGTTGAACTACAGCACGTACTTCAGACAAAAATCCAAGCTTGATTTAAAAATGGCCAGAGAATCTACCCCACACCCTGGGAGGTTGTTCCAATGGTTAATTCCCCCCACTACTAACAATTATTTCCAGTCTGTTTTGTGTCTAGGTTCAGCTTCTAGCCCTTGGAGCTTTTAAAGGTACAGCAGTTTTCACTCCCGCTCCCACCAGTGCAGAGGGATTTGAACCCATCCGTGGTAGTACTGGAAGCCACTAAACTATCCTTAATCTACGGGGCCAGGAGAAATACTTTTCCCACATGCCATTATCCTTGGGAACTCATGGCTACAAGATACCAAGGCCGAGTAATGGGATTCAGAAAGGGAGTGGACGGTTCTGTGGGTAACAAGAACATGCGAGTTCCAGTAGATTTAACACATTTTGAAGTGGGTTGGATCTCAAGCTGACGGCTTTGGGCCATGAACCACCAGCCTCTAAATTATCCCATCACTGCTGCAGCTCAACTATTGGTGACAGGCTACTGGGTACAAACCTCAACGTAAATGCCTTGCCCTAGAGTGACTGACTCCAGGGAGTTACTGGGGATGTTCACACCAGCGCGTGCCCGCTGGCGCTGCTGCAGCAGGCCTGGACCAAGGGCTCACATCAGTTGAGCCCCATCAGTGGAGTAACAGCAGGGCAAATTGACATGAGTGGGCGCACGGCCTGGGTATGTGATGCTTGCAAATGCCAGATCCTAGGGTGGTTTGGGGGGAAATGTTCGGTGACTGGTTTCTAGCCTTGCCCCCTCCCCGCCGTACTGTGAGTGTGTGAAGTGCCCAGAGTCTCACAGGAGACACTGAAGGACAAGTGTGTGTCCTGAGTGTGTGTGTGGGGAGGGGAGGGGTTTTTTGGAGCCATGCAAATAGTGCTGGGAATTTGGACACAAGTGCGTGGGGGGAGGGTAAGAGGCAGATGGAGCAATAAAAAATAACCAGCCACTGAGCCGACCATGGTGAGATGCTGCAGTAAAGTGGTTTATTGCTGCTAGTGAAGCAGGTCCAAGACCCAGCAGTAACGGAAAGAGCCCAGAGGCTTCAGTTATGTCATTAAATGGATTAGAAGTTAGTGGGGAAGCAGAGGAATTGGTTGATTTCTTCTGATCCCAGTTTGGATTCAAGACACTGATCTCCGCCACGTGCTGGGAATAAGGCTGGGGGAATAAAGAAAAGAAGTGCGAAAGGGAGCTGGTCTGTGTCCTGCGAAGTTTTGATGGTGGAGCAGACGTTTTGGCTCATGGTCATCTTGGCGTGAGCTAGAGCAGGGCTCAGTGACTGACCGAGTTGCATTGCTGACCTATCTGTGTCCTCTTGAGCCAGGGCTGAGACCAGATCTGGAACTCACAGCGCACTTTCTAGGGGTGGAATGAAGCACATTAGAATGGGCGTGACTCTCAGAGGGGTGTCCAGTAAAACCCAGCTGTCCTCTTCCCCCCAGCCTTACACCATAACTGTGGGCAAGTCATGTAGCTCCGATCCTCAGTTTCCCCACTCATAAAAAGGAAGGGGGTGTGAAGCTAAAGTCATTGCTGTGTGTGCAGTGGGGAGATGCTATGGATGTGTGGGGCATCAAAATACAGAGCTAACAGAGCTCAGTGTCCAGTACATCTACACCCCTGTATTTCATGTGTTTATCCTCACACCCACCCCGGGCGGCAGGGCAGTGCTACTAGTCCCAGTCTACAGATGGGGAACCCAAGGCACAGAGAGAGGAAGCGACTGGCTCGGGCTCACACGGGGAGTCTGGCAGAGCAGGGAATAAAACCCAGCTTCCCTGGGCTTCAGATAAGTGACCTCCCCATCCTTGTGACTCTGCCATGCCCAGCAGTTCCTGGCCCCTACCCAGGATCATCTCCCAGCTCAGGCAATGCCAGGTTTTAACCTCCCTCCTATTCTGTGCCCAGCAACTCCTCCTATTTCCCCTTCAGTTTGATACACAAAGAGCCGGCTACTATTGGAGGTGGATTGGGCTGGGAAAGCAGCAAGGGCAAGAACAGCAAAGGACTCCAGGCTACCTCCCTCTGCACCACATCAAGCAAATCCTCCACCCCCTTCTGCGCCTTCTCCAAAGCCAGCAGAGGTTGGTTGGTTGCAATCCAGGCTCGCAATAGATTCTGGCTGAGCTGCCTCCTGCCCCCACCGCAGTGTGGAATTGGGGCAGGACTGGGCCCCACTATTTAGGAGTGGATGATGATAACTTTATGGTTTTACATGGTTTAGCCCCAATGGAAAGATTTCCCTTTGCTCTGTTGTTCTCAAAAGCAGCACCCTGCAGAGAGCGGAGCCCGCAGCCAGAGCAACAGTGAGTGTGAGCCCCACCCTGGTCTGGGCCCCTCTTCCCCCTCCCACCGCTTGTCCAGTTAGATGGGAAGGGCTTTGTCATAGGGAGTGTCCGTCAGCTGGGCTCTACCCAGTGCCTGGCATGAGGGGACTCCCCATCCCGATCTCACTGGTGGGGATGTGGCTTTAAATAATTGTCTCAGAAAATCAATTCTTGGCAAACCAAACTGGTGCCTCAAACCCAGGAGCCGAACCCCGAATAGGTCCAGTCCCGTCCTCTCACCTTCTGTTGGGGCGGGGGCGGCAGGGGGCACTTGCTGAGATCCACGGGTTCACCCTGGTTTTTCCTGCACAGTGTCCCCACCAGCTCCATGGTCAGATGTAGCATGAGCCCAGACACGACCTGCAGGGAGATTGAGGAGCCCGGCCTGGTGATGAGTCCCTGCACGACCCCCAAATCCTGCCTCCCACCTCTGAATACCAGGAAACACGTGGGGCTGAGCTCTGAACCTCCCCATTGCCACACGCTGCCCCTTAGGCCGTGTCCAAACTAGGGCAGTTGCGGCGGGGAAGAGGGGGTCAGTCTGTCCCACCTGGACTATGATCTGGGTTCAAAGCCCTTTGCAGGCATCAGGGGATTTGCTCCCAGTGCTCCAGGGGGCATTAATGCCCATCCTCGTGTCACAGAGCAAGGAGCAGGGAGTGAGGGGAGAGGGCAAAGTTAGCCAAAGGGCCTCCCACTGGGCGGCTCAGCTGGGGAATCCTTGGGCTGGGTTTTCAGTGGTGTTGGGGCAGCAGGACACCTAGGTGCCAGCCTCATTGCCCATCCTCACTGCGGGTCCAAACTATACATCTCCTTCCCCCTGCCCTTCCCCCCCGGTCCACGCCTCACCAGATGCCTTCCACCCACACTCCGCAGCCTTACCCACCCCAGCTCTGAGCCCTGGATCCCAGCTCCACCAGACCCCTCATCTGGGGTTGCACCCACAGCACCTACACCTTTACCCCCCCTCACTTGCTCCCTTTAACACCTGCATCCACTCACCTGTCTCTGGGCGCTCAGCACCTGCAGCCCCTGGCTGTAGTAGGGGCTCTTACTGCGCTGGTTGTAGGTCTGTTCAGCTGCATGAGCCGCCTGCTGGACTTCTGGGTCTGACACTGGCACATTTTGCAGCCCCCCAGCAATAGGGGTCCCCAGAGTGAGGGGAACCCCCAGGAGGAGCAGGAAGCACAACCAGGGACCTGCCACTGCTGCAGGGAGTGCCATGGCTGAGAATGGCCAGAGCTGGGGATGGGATGCTAAGATATAGGCATGGAGCCCCACCCCCCTGGAATGGCCCCACCCACATGGGATAGAAAAATTCCACCCTACATTACATAAGACCCAAGTATAGATGGGAAATAAACCCCCAGGGCTTGATTCAGCCACTAAGGGCCAGGGGAAAGGGACCTTTATGGGGCAGGTCATCCCAGAATTCCCCCTTACGTGGGGCATTTCTGGCACCTTCCTCTGAAGCAACTGGCAATGGCCACTGTCATGGGCGCAATGCCAGGTTACATGGGCCCATTGGTCCAAATGAGTGTGGCCAGTCTTAGTAGAGCGCTGCCCACCGTAGAGCGCCCCACCCACGGCACATGGAGAAACATCCCCTAACAGGGAGCCCCGCTAGCTGACAGATGGAGCCCTGCCCCTTGGAAGGGGCCCTGCCTCAGAGAAAAAGGCCAGGCCTCAGCTCCATTCCCCTGTTGGTCAGCTAGTAGTTGGGCAATGGGCACCAACTGATCTTTTTGCTTGTCCCAAATCCATAGTATTTATGGACAAGGGAGGGACGGGCGCAAAGAGACTGGTCGCCAGTGACTCTCATTCAGTGTTGTCTGCCGTGGCCTCTGTTACGTTCTCCTCGATCTGCAGGCTTGGCCATAGGGCCTGTGTCCCGGTTGGAGTCAGAGAGGTGAGGGTCAGACAGAATCCATCTGGGCTCCCCTGGCATGGTGCTGTCCCCACTGAAAGGTGGTGGTGTCCCAGAGCACATGCTATGTCCCTAAGCTGTACCCCCTCCTTCACTTTCTTTTTAATGACTGGTCAGGCCTAACCTCCCTCACTTGTGGTCAGGTTTGTTCATGCCCAGTTTTGCCCCGTTCCCCGTGAGGATTTGGGGGATCTGTCTGTACAGCTTATGAATTCTGGTTCATATTATGGAATGGCTCTTATGAAAACTGCTGTACCATGAACGCCGGTCCCGATGCGTAACCCTTTGCCCTCCCAGCCGGAGAGAGAGCAGGTCTTGCCCATGCTGCGGACAATGGAGAGTTCTTAGCTTTGATCACAGAATAGTTATGCTAATGAGTGGGCATCCTAGGGGAAACTGCTTGTACCCATTGTCTCTGAGGGGAGGGGGTTTAGGGGCTGTGAGTTGTTACCAAACCAGAGAGCAAAGGAAGCCAGGTGTTGGGAGGGGGTATGTACAGAGAGTCACATGGGGAAGTTGAGGTGTG